AAGGAACATGTCCATACCCGGTCCCACTCCAAAGCGTCAGGTTCCACGTTACTTTGTGGGAGGTCCTTCTTTGAGATCCTGCACAAGACCGGCTCAGGATCGGGTCGCTCAATCGCCTCCGGCTGCCGCCCATCGAGCCAAATGCGAGGACCCGGGCGACTGGTCTCTCGGAAAATTGGGGCGTGGCCGTTAAGGCGGCAAGGCCCAGCCTCTTCTTTTTGAGGCTATGATGTCGACATCCTTTACTGAGAAAGAAGAGGCACTTATTTGTTTGTTCGATTAACTACCCGTAAGCACAGGTATCTGGAGTAGAGGGTATAGGCTTCATGGGAAACAAAGACATACCCTGGAACAGCAAGGGTTTGAAGTTTCACTGCACTTGAGTAAAGCTTCAAGGAAACCAAACCCTGGAATCGTCACAGGGGTTCAGATGCTTCTTTGCTGAGTGAGATTCTGTGAGTTGAGGGTTCCACTTTTGTGATGTCAACTTCAGATGAATCTGGAGGACCCTACGAATCAGGGGTTGTACCCCTTTTAGTAACGGAGTTGCCTATTCTTCGGGGTTCCCCTGCCTGTAGACTACTCCGGAAAGATCCGGATACAATACTAGGTCCCCCAGTAGTGCCCTTTGGCCCCGTTTTTTGAGGAGGCTTCCCTTTACTAAAATAGACTACAGCAAAAAGGGTACCCTTATTCTAATTTCTCTACTGGAGGACCTAGAACATGATTGGTCAAGGTTCATGAATGAAGCCCAAAAAGCATCCAGTGGGAATGTTCCCTAGGCCCACACGAACAAGTATATGTGTTTTGATGGGTGGGAGGTCAACATGGGCGTGCCCTAAAAATCGCTCCTCTTCCCGTTGCGCTTGCACGTCACAAGGTCGTGCGTTTGGGGTTATGACTAGAACTGGATGGGTTCCACTGGTTTAGATCTGTTGTTTAGTTTGGCATGTACCAGGGCCATCTATATCTAGGTCCCCCAGTGCCCTTTTACATCCTTTTTTGGGGGAGGGTTCCCCTTCTAAAATAGACTGCAGGAAAAAGTTGGTAGCCTTATGCTAACCTCTGCACTGGAGGACCTAGATATTTTTCACAAGGCCTCCTAAGCCTTCAAGTTTTTGGGGTAACACGAGCCAACTGAACATGAGTCTCCACTGAGGCAGCCCTGCCAGAGTGCCTGCGACACAGGGGTGTCGCTCCAGAATCTTGACCTCAGTCCATCGAGGTCCCTGAGTAGTTTCCTTTGTCACCCCTGTTTTGGGGGAGGGTTCCCCTACTAAAATAGACTACAGGAAAAAGTTGGTGCCCTTATTCTAACCCCTCTACTGGAGGACCTCTCCATGGTACCTCTGAATTCCCAAGGTTCTTGCGCTGGTCTTTCGTGTGACTCTTGGGTCGGATGTTGATGTTCGTCCGAATGTCAGGCAGTGGCTCTCATCCACCAGGGGAATTTCTCTGAAGGTACCTCTGAATTCTCTAGAAGCATCTTGCGCTACTGGTGGACAGTGTTTGGTGTGACCTTAGCACCGACATCTTGGCCTTCGGGAGCAGAAGCACGCCATGAAAAGTGGCTCCCACTTCGGCCAGTGGGTTCAAAAAAAAACTCATTCAAAGCGCCCCTTTCAAGCTTCCAAGTACCTGGTGATGGGCCGTTGGGATCCCCTCCTATCATAGTCGACCAGCTATCTTCCATGTCGAAGGGTGAGTCCAGGCTACCTGCTGCACCGCGAGTCGTGCAATTACTCAGCGGCCCACTCGAGCAACTCAGTACCACATCAATTGCTATGATGTAGTTCAATTTCGACATGTCCAGCGTTTATGTTGTGATTGTACATCTCTAGATTCGTATATCTATATTTATATCTTGATATATTTATACAGAAGGGGTGCTCCCTATTAAAATCACATCCCCACCAACACCGGTCTCCAGAAGGGGTGCTCCCTGGGATGTAGTTATGTTGAGGGTTGACTAGACTCCCTCTAGATTTGCTTTGGGGAGGAGTGCCAACGACGTGCTGCTCTCGCTGACCAGCGGCAAGCCCGCGAAGAAGAAGGAGCCTACATTTAAAACAAAAAACAAAAGCAATAAACAGATAAACAAACAAAAACAAACAGTAAATCCGGAAAAAGGGAGGTTCAAGCAAATCTACATTACAAGAACAAACAACCATGACCAGGTAACAAACAAAAAAGGAAAAACATAAATCCGGAAAAAGGGAGGTTCCGGCAAATAACCTTGCTTTCGAATCCGAAACCTGGTTTTCGAACAAATAAATCACGTGATATAAAGGCCCGGGGTAAGTAGAATAGGGCTGTGGGGGTACTTCCGAACCCACATGTCCGAATCAGTGCTCTAACTTTTCCGACTTCGTGGGGGTATTTTGTGAATCCAAGTGTTCGAATCAGCGTTCCAAGTCTGTGCGGGGTTTGCGACTTCTTGCGTTTCCGTTTTCCGGTGAAAGCGGAAGCTCGTGAATTCTGCCCCAACAAGGAGCCATGAGGCCTGCGTATGACTTCTGGGGCTCAAGGGTCTGGTGCCACCTTCAAAATGTTGACTGCTGGAGGGTGTTGAAACTAAAACACAAAGAAAAAGGGTACCCTTATTCTAACCTCTCTACTGGACAACCTGGCTGAAATCTAGAAGAAGATCGAATATTGGCCAAAAGCCACAGACCAGGACCTCCGCCCCTTGGGGAGCATTTTAGCCTAGAGCAGCCCCTCTGCCATGAATTGGTTAGAGCCGGCCGTACAATCTTTTCTTTTGCGGCGGCTTTAATCCATAATTTGCGACTTATTTCCAACGCCATCTTTCTGGCTGGTTGCAGAAGTTGGCAACAGCTTCGCGGGGGCAGTTGGCTTGGACGGTCTTCTTTGCCCAGTTGGTCAGTGCCCAGACTTTGTCCTTGTTGCTCTGCCGCAATGGGTTCCCCATTACACCCAGGGTCACTTGGCGGCTGGGTTTAGGCAACTCCCTACGTGTCATGGTTTTGTTGCGTCACAGACACGGTATCCCTTGAGTTTGATGCATTTTGGACACTTGGGTTTTGAAGATCGTGCGCTCATGCCCTCACAAACGGGCCCGTAAAAACAGCGGCAGCTCTGAACTTCCATTTGCTTGAGAATACTTTTTTGTTTTTCTTCTGTTGGTTTTAAAGGGAATCTATCACTACGTGACAGATTTTCTCATTTTTCCAGGTCGCAAAGCCAAATGGAAGTCTCTTGGCCAAAATTTGGTCCTTTCTCCTCTTGCATTGACTCATGTGGCCATGTTTGGTGCCATGTCACTGAAGGCCTGGGCCTTCAGTTGCCCACAGCTTCGCCTCTCGCATCGCTAGGACGCAGAGACGGCCTGGCGGGTCACTGCAGAGCAGGCGGGAGGGAGTGGCTTCACTGGGACCGTGGGCCAAGGAGGGGATGAACAAAAAGGAGCTGAGCCACAAATACCTCAATCACTGGCTAGGTCCCCAGCTAGGTGCCCTTTCTCACCCTTTCTAGTAGTGGAGGGTTCCCCTACTAGTTGCAACCAACGAATCAAAGGGCCCCACACCCAATCAGCCAGGACCCTTCTGGGACCTTTGATTCAAACGGCCCAGCGATATCCTTCCGGAAAACAACAACTAGGTCCCCCTGCTTCGTGCCCTTTCTCACCCCTTTTTTGGTTGGGAGGGTTCCCCTACTAAAATAGACAACAGAAAAAAGTTGGTAGCCTTATTCTAACCTCTCTACTGGAGGACCTACACTTAATCACTGGGCAGAAACAAACCTCTGGTTGTCAGTGACTTAACCGTTTCAAATCTCTTCGTTGCCAGGTTTCTTTTTCACTGACGCATGGAAACAATCACGATTTCTTGTGTCTAGCCAGTCAAGTCACCCAGTGAGGGGAACTTAACCATGTTATGTTACGTATTTCCTAAAAATGGTCAACCATTCAAACAAGGAAACCCCGGATCAACAAGCCCAAGAACGCTATGTGAGCCACTGTCAAAACCCTTGCAGACGAAGGTTAGGAGGGGACAGTCCCAGCCAAAAATCGGTGGACATTTTGGCCAATGTATTCTATACCAGTCACAAACATATGTTTTGTGGTAATTGTACTGGAAATCTTTTTTTTTGTTTTTTGCGTGCTCAAGCAAGTAGGAGCGCTCGCTATGGTTTAAGTGGCCCAATTCATGAACAAATATCCATTCTTCCTGGGCTCCCATCACTTGAATGTTTAACACTGATAAGCGGGCCGTAAAGACATGCTATAAGTGGAATGACTGAGGCTGGTCAAGAACTCCCATGTTTTCAGTTTATTTATTTTTTGGTATATCCCGCAAATGCGTGTGTCCTCTTTAGCGGCCCCCTGCAACGATGGTTTTCTCTTGGCTTCGCTTCAGAACTACCACACACAATTGGGTACTCTCAAAGAAAGACAGACCCCGATCTTGTTTGTGACAAAAGGATTTTGCCACACAGGGTTCAGTCACAGCAATCTGCAACGATCCTTTTGATGCATGCAGAAATGACACCCACCGGTATTCCTTGCTCTCAAAAAGAGGCGACAAGTACATGGATATGTCCCATAGCTTGTCGACACCCAGACGTTCCTGTTCTGGGAGCAACCACTGCAGTTATAAGATTGTCCAACTTGGATGGGTGCTCTGTTTAGGTGGAACATGTAGTGGCCCCTGAAAAGGTACGATGCCAAACCAGCTATTACCAAAACACTTCGCCAAACACTACCCTTGAAGGAAAACAAACAACGGCGCCTGAATAATGTGCAATTTTGTTATTCGGTTCAAACTTTCTATTTAACACTAGGACGAGTTGCCAAGTGGTGTCTCTCAAACCAGACCCAAACACTTGGCGGTTCCTTGAAGCAAGCTCAACACGGGTACCCTGTAAGAAAGACAACAGTAAGTTGCCAAGTGTTTGAGCGGTTCGGGAGGGTTTGCATCCAGACGGGACTTGGGACACGGAAAATGCGCCTGCGCGCCCGGTGTGCCCGATGACAGGTCATGCAGGCGGAAGATGTGGAAGAGGCGAGGAGTTTCTGACAGAAGTGATTGCTTCTGCACAATATGTGCATACATTATACTTTAGATATGAGGTAGTTCCTCATTAGCATTCATTCCCAATATGTATATAATACATTAATATAGGTATATATAGGTTTGCAACATTTGTAGATCATGGTGTGTGTATGACCATATGTATATGTATATATATATATATATTATGTATACATTTGTATATATATATATATATGTATGCATTTGAACGGGTCCAACATACGAGACACTCCGTTGCCGATGTTTTGAAAGGGGGAAACAACAGGAAACTACGGCTACTTGTCCGGGTCCAACTCCTAGTTTAGGAAGCACACAGATCGGTTTATGTGTCCCACCTTTGACGGGGCATCTTGTGTTTCTTTCTGCCCTAAGGCTTCGGATGGATTTCGGGGCTCCAGAATCACTTTTTTTGAGACCCCTACAGCCGCGGTGTGGTACCGGAACCCTTCAATTCTGCAACCAAGCCGCAGGACCCTGAAAGTGATTTACTTGGTTGCTTGCTAGTTTCGAGTATCCGCTCGGAATCTAGGAGGACTACCGCATGCTCTTCGAGCAGATGGAGCGCAGCAGCCCCGTTTCTCTCTTTTTTGGGGGGCAAAGTTCTGTGCGCGGCGTAAATCAGATTCCTTCCTGGTGGTTTGGTGGTTTGGACTGGCAGCTTTCGATGTACCCGCAAGATTCAAGGGCTATGTCAAATGTTAAATCCAAGCCAATCCAAGCCTGCTAGGGGCTACCTGACCTTTGGACACGGCCACTTGGAAGATTTCTCTCATGTTACCAGCGACAAAGCCTTTGGGGAGGCCAACCCAAACCGTTTGTGTCGGAATGATTTGGGAACCTCTGCCAGACCCCCCGCGACCCGAACAAGCAAAACTCATCGCTACCTCCAGCACCGGCTGGCCGTTTTGCTAGTTGCCCATGGCCCATGACTGTGCCGAAGAATGGAAGCTCAATGATTTTCTCGCTGGTTTAATTATAGACTTATATGCTTCCTTTTAGACTGAGGAGTATGCTTAACTCACTTCGGTCATGAAGGGTTCCAAATTCGCCGTTCAAAGGAAATGGCCATCGTTTGCACCTAAAGGAACTCGGCTCCGAATTGCCAGCACGTACCAGAAAACCGACCTGTCTGCAACCTCGGGGAAGCGTGTTCTAGTGCCAATTTTGGCAGGAGTCATCAGAATGGCTCACTTTGGCATCACGTTCTGCTCGACCGCTCTGTTCTTCCCACGGATGAGTGAGTTGAGGTGGGTCCGGCTTGCTAAACCCAGGCACCCGGAAATGGCATAGGGCCATCCCAGGCAGTTGGCCCGAGAAGTTGGAGTTTATGGCCAGAGTTGTGAGTGAGACTCCAGGGAACCTGACAAGGGGCTTCGACTTTTCCTGAGGCGGCAGCTTCAGCGGGTACCCGCATGAGGGCAAGGACCGCTGGGAGTTTTCACGCCCTCACGAGCCAGGTGGCAGCTTTCGGCTCCACACTGCTTCTAGGCTGCCTTTCAAGGGTACCAGCGACTTGCGATTTTTGTTCAATGTTTGGTCAGGCAGAAACCAGTGTGTTGATTTGTTTGTCGGTGCAACCAGAAGTCCTTTGCCCAAGTTGCCCAACTTGAAAAACTGTTTGTTGGCAGGTCTTGTATCATCATGGCCAGGGCCAGAAGGTTTCATCACCCATGAACTCAGAAATTCATTTCCATCTCGTGGTTCCCTTGAGGTGAAAGTTACCCGATTGGCCTGCGTGATCCTTCACACATTATAATCGACCGGTGGCTCCAAGATGATTTCCACTACCCCCCCCCCAAAAAAAAAAACAAGAAAAACAGAGAAGACAAAACACTTTCAGGACGGGCAAAACGAGGTATATAGAGCCTTCAAATAGTGACTACATAGTTGTATATCCCATTAAACCCCTGGGTCCTGCTTTGGGGGTTGTGGACATTATAGATTGGCATGACCTTGACAAGCACCATTGGTCGTTTTCGGTTGGTAGACTCACCAACACGGTCAACCCTGACTTGTTGCAACTCAACCACCATTAACACCTGGTAGACGAAGGCCAGAAAGGGGACGTCACCATAAGCAGAACATATCCGCCCTTCAATTCTCCTGGTTTTGAGTCAACCATTTTGATACTTGCTGGTGCTCAGTAGGTGAGGGAATGAGCCGGGGGGGGTCCCCTTGAAGGAAACCACCAGTTGGATGGTTTTCTTCTGGCTCATTCCGTTTCTCATTGCCTGCCTATCACGCCAGCAAGTCCTGTGGATTCCTGGAGCTTTTCTATAAGAAGGATCCCCAGTTCTTATAGAAAACCTCCAGAAAACCTCCCCGGAAAGAACGGACCTGGGACGCCTCGCGTGCGGCAGTGCGCATGCGTCGCGTGAGAATGCGCAGGACCGGCTGGTGAAGGTGTCGCAGGCGCTGCAGGCGAAGCACATGGCGCACCGCGGCACCGCCCTGTCCAAGGACCCTTGGTCCTGGGGTCATTATTTTGACGGTCTATTCTATCCTCTCTATTGGAGAACCTAGCCACAAACAGGTACCCTCCAAACAGGGACAGACATCGGCCCTTTGGTTTGCAGTTTCGGTTCCCATTTGGCAGGTCCGCTGCAAAGTAATATGGGTTGCCAAGAGGAGACTCCTCTGCAGGCAGTCTTTGTTGCCGTGGCTCCATGTAAAAACAAAGCAGGGGAGCCCGGCTTTAAAAGGTTTTTCATGTTTCCGTTTTAGACAAATTAAGTCAAGTGGGAGGTTTCCGCTCGTCTGGACCCAAAGAAGTGGTTTTGTTCAGGCAGGGGTCATTATTGTGACGGTTTCTGGGGGTTATCAAAGTCAGAAAATGTGGTTGTTTCCCTTTAACCCACCACTTAGGGGGTGACTTTGATCATGGTAAAATCATGAGGCCAGTCGTCGCTTCGCTTGGGGCGAAATGAGCCACTTGCTCAAAACCCGGGTAGATGAAGGCTAGTCAGGGACAATCCCAAGCATAAATAGCTGCGGATATTTGCCTTGGTAAGTCTTCACAGGGTTCTGGGATTACGACCATTTGACTACCGGGTTTTGGCTATGACTCGCCCAGGGACCGTTTTAGGTGGCAAAGGCCAGGGAAGAGTTTGCCAGTTGGAACCAAGAATCACGGATTCCCTTTGCTGAAATGAATAGCTTTTTAGTTTCCCCTGTTGGTTTTCAAGGGAATCTAACTGAACAAAGGTTTGGCTTTTTTGCAGGGGACTTGACTTAAGCAAACCCCGCGTACATCGGCCAAACAAGTTGCCCGCACCCAAGAATGATCAGAACCAGAAAATGGGGGGGGGGCTTACATCTTCCCAAGTCCTGGTATATCAGCCAAAGAAATTCCTCTCAGAACCATGGCCCGAATGGCAGCCACGTTGATGGGCGAAGCGCAACATACACTTGGCACAAAGTTGGGATTGTAGGCTTTCATCCAAACTATATTGGCCAGTTCATCCGCATTTGCAACTGGCGGCCAACTTGGCAAGCCACAAATTCATTGGTATGCCCTGCCCCAAATCCTCCCACCCCAAATCCTCCCGCCCTCCCACCCCACCCCAAACCCTCCCACCCCACCCCAAACCCTCCCACCCCACCCCAAACCCTCCCACCCCACCCACCCCACCCCAAACCCTCCCACTCCACCCCACCCCAAACCCTCGCATGGTATTACCTCCCCAACACCACCCAGCTGGGTCCACTGGTTGCCTCAGGACGAGGCCCAGGCGGCAGAGCGCCTCGCCAGCGCCATGGCTGGGAGCCCCGGTCGGTCGGCGTTGGCCACGGCGTTTTTTTTCTCTCTTTTTCTTCGCATTTTGGACAACTCAAATGGTGGGGTTGGGCGGGGCGGGGCGGGGCGGGGCGGGGCGGCGGGCCAGGGGCGGGGGGCGGGGTGTTGGGTGTTGGGTGTTGGGTGTTGGGTGTTGGGTGTTGGGTGTTGGGTGTTGGGTGTTGGGTGTTGGGTGTTGGGTGTTGGGTGTTGGGTGTTGGGTGTTGGGTGTTGGGTGTTGGGTGTTGGGTGTTGGGTGGGGTGATGTGGTTGGAGTTGGTGCTTCGGAAATCCGGTGATTGCGCAATTGGCAAACTGGACCGCTGCCATATCACAAGGCGAAACACGATTTCAGATGGTCAGACATGATTTGGGGCTGGGGTGGGGGTGGGGTGGGGGTGGGGTGGGGGTGGGGTGGGGGTGGGGTGTGGGGCGGGATGGGGCGGGGTGGGGTGGGTTGGTGGGTGGCTCTCTGTCCAGGTTGTCAACTTGGGTCAGCTTCTAGGTGATCCATAGAGAACAAGAAATGGCTGGCGCATTAAGATTCGGAAGTCATTTTAAACGGCTGCCGGATTTAGCTGTGTGCAGTTTGCTGCTCAAATCGGCTTGTTCCCCTGCCTCAATGTCCCCATTCCGGGACGGACATTGGCTCATTTGATCTCGGATTTGATCTCATCTGCTATGCCTGAACTCGAATGTCCGTGTGGAAGTGATTGATCTGAACTTTTTCAGACCCACAAACAGTCGACAGGGAATGGTTGGCCGGTGGTCGTGGCTCTTTGGTTTTGAGCGTTTCCCTCTCTTTGTATGGCTCCATGTTCGTCCCCACTCGTCCAGTTCCGATTTTTGTACGTATTCTTGGATCACTGTTTTAATGGGAAACGAGCTTAGGCTGTTTGGCCAATCCACTCAGAGCGCGGGTATGAGTGGGAGAATACGAAGTTGTGCATCTATCTTGATAAGTGCCTGATCCAGATGCAGTGCCCCCCAAGACTGCCTTGCCAGATGCGGCTGCCACTTTCCCGTTTTCTCTGGAGATCTGTCTGGACAAATCACAGTGACCTCACAAAGGTTGGAGTCTTCAAGACAGGAAAGACAAATTGGGTGAAATTAGCTGGCTTTGGGAGAGAATCATGGGAGAGCCATTTTCTTCAACCCATCTCAGCCAACGGATGGCTGTAAGGTTTGATCATGTTTGTGGAACGCGTTGTTTGTTGGGCATGATGATTTTTGTATCACCAGGCAAACTTCAAATGACAAGCAATTCACCCAATGCGTGTTGCAGGCATACTGCTGGTGTTCCACGAGCATGTTTGATGGAAGAATCCTTGATAGAGAAGACGGTAAATGAGCTCGTGTTGGGCCCATGAAGCTCCTTTCGTCGGGAGTTCACGGCGTCTCTGTGTTTGAGGTGGTTCTCTTTTTGCGACTCAAAAGCGACAGAAGGGAACAGCCCATTCTTAGGGGTTCCCTTTGCAGCGAAACCCCAGGCATTGTTGCTTGACTGCTATTGAGTTAAATCTTTAGTTTTTCACTTTTTGGGAAATCAAGGGGTTTTTCACTAAACCCCCAAAAATGTTAAACTTTTTGCAGGGGGGTCAACAGCAACCAAGGTTGGTGGAATTCAAATACGGTATTTGTGTGTGCGGGTGTTGTTCTCGGCCGTAAAATCGCCGTTTCAGCCGTTGGAAGATCAGCGTTTCCCCCCACCCAGACACAAGTGGAAACTTGGTGCTCCAGCCATCCCAGTAGCTTTTTAGCCTTTTTGTGTTTAGTGGGGATTTGCATTTAACTCACTAGAAGTTAAATAAACTCTTAGCAGGGGATCTGAGGACAGCCCAGAAAACTGGTGGTTTTCTTTTCGGTGTCCGCTTCAAACTCCCCAGACCAGGTAATATGGGTTGCCAAGAGGAGACTCCTCTGCAGGCAGTCTTTGTTGCCGTGGCTCCATGTAAAAACAAAGCAGGGGAGCCCGGCTTTAAAAGGTTTTTCATGTTTCCGTTTTAGACAAATTAAGTCAAGTGGGGGTCCGCTCGTCTGGACCCAAAAGAAGTGGTTTTGTTCAGGCAGGGGTCATTATTGTGACGGTTTCTGGGGTTTGTCAAAGTCAGAAAATGTGGTTGTTTCCCCTTAACCCACCACTTGGCGGCGAGCGAAAGGCAAGCGCCGAAGTCGTCCGCAGGCTGCGCTGGGCGGGGACGACTTCGGCACCTACTCGGCCATGGCGAAGTCCCTGAAGCCCAGGCCGAAACTGGGCACGGCTCTTGGGACGTTGCCCCTGGGATTCCAACCCTTTCGGCTTTTGGGGAAGGGTTCTCCTTTCAGTCCATCCCAAAGGGTGCCCTTTTTCCACGGGGAATAACCCCATCCGTTCCCTAAAGAGGAATCATTTGTTGGGCTCACCAAAGGGTTCTTCCATCCGTTCCCTAAAGAGGAATCTTTTTGTGGGCTGACTTGAAAAGGGTTGTTTTCCGAGCTGATCAACAAGCACCAGGGTGGAACAATGATCTTTGCTGGTTTGCTGTTGGATCTTTAGACTTTCACTTTTTGGTTGAAATCAAGTTGGCTTTTCCCATGAAACCCACAAAATAAAGTCGATCACTTTTTGCGGAGGGGTCATTACCGCAACCAAGTTGAAGCTGTCCCTCGCCGCCGTAAAGAGGTCGGTCCTGATCCCACGCGCATCTCTCGCTTGCATCGTGTACTGGAGCACTGGGAGACTCGAAGTGGGGCCAACCAATTCAAATTTCATCCGCGTCCGGGGCCAAACCAAACCTGTAGAGTTACCACGGCCCACCTTCTTGGGGCCAACATTATGGTTTTCCAAAAAGAAAGGTGAATGAAGTGATGTGCTGCCGTGTAGGACCCGGGCAACTCGAGTCGAAGTGAGTGCCAAGTGGGGACACCTTTTCAGCTTTGGCCCCAGATCTCTTTGTCCCGGTTAATTGGAGATGTTCCGGCCGGCGGCGGGAGGCTTCATGTCAGATGTCGTGTCTGAAGGCAGTTGTTTTTTGTTTCCTAGGTCCCCCAGCTAGGTGCCCTTTCTCACCTTTTTGTTTGGTTGGGAGGGTTCCCCGACTAAAATAGACTACTGAATTACACCAGCCTCGACCCCAAACAGCAAACAAAGCATGACAGGTCTGTATAACCCAAGAAACGCTTGTCTCCTTCATGTAAGGTGCGAAATTGAGTAGCTTATGTGAGCAACACACAATTACAATCAGTCCATGTATGTCCCCTTTTTGGGGAAGAGGACACATCGGGTCCATCCATCTCCTTGACGCCGGGTAAAAGCATCTATGTTGCTCATCGACTTCGAGGGGGAAAACGCCATGTCAGTGCCATGTTCGAGAGTGAAGGCCCCGGGGATTCGGTGTGAATCAACCTAACACCTGGCATTAATCAAAGGAAGTTTCGAAGGAACTTTCGTAGTACGGACACTCAGTGCACTTTTCCATCACCGCAGCATTTGGTGGCCGTCTCGCTACTTGCTGAAACTTGCGCATCAGTCTCAGCAGCTTGCGGCTGAGATGCCACTTCTGGTTGCTATCTTCTTCTCGAGCTCGGCTAAAGGTCTTGCCACAAGCAAGAGAGCGCTTGCATAAACTTGCAAACTGCGCCTGGTAGCGTTACGGCCGGGACATCCTTGCCTAGCAACGCAAACACACGCCGCGCCAAATTGGCAAGCGTCAGCAAAGGTGCCCGTTTGGCGCGCACCTCTATCCCCCGGGACAGCTCCAGAAAATCCTCAGCGTTTGAGCCGGCAGTGGCTTGGTCATCCAGGGCCTTCATCTCTGTCGTGTCCAGCGCGCCGCATGCTCCCAAGATGGCCAACGCATGGCTTTGCTCCACGCGCCCCAACGCCGCTCCATTCTAAAATAAGCTTGGCTGTGAACGTCAGCTCCAGCCCTGCTCCATCTCGGAAACGTGTGAGAACTTCGCCCCAACTTACCAATGCGGCAGCGCAGTGGACACCGCCAGCTTGGCCGGGTTCTAATGCGCCACAAGGATGCAAGCCAATCAGTTACGGCCACTTGGCTGTGCTCTGCTGAAGCGCCACAAGGATGCAAACCAGTCGGTTAAGGCCACTTGGCTGGGCTCTGCAACTGTGCCACAAGGATGCAAACCAGTCTGTTACGGCCACTTGGCTTTAGGTGATGCGCCACAAGGATGCAAACCAGTCAGGTACGGCCACTTGGCTCGGCTGCAAATCAGTCAATTAAGGCCACTTGGCTGGGCTGTGCTGGTGTGCCGCAAGGATGCAAACCACTTTGCTGGTGCGCCACAAGGATGCAAACCAGTCAGTTACGGCCACTTGGCTGGGCTCTGCTAATACGCCACAAGGATGCAAACCAGTCAATTAAGGCCACTTTGCTGGGCTCTGCTGCTGCGCCACAGCTGATGGTCACAAGGATGCAAACATGGACTTGAAAAGAAGTGCAGCTAAGAATCATGAGAAAAGCAATCATCATGATGTGACAAAATATATGTTTTTCGCACATTTTAGGCTCAGCTGATGCGCCACAAGGATGCAAACTTGCACTTGACCAAGAAGTGCGGCACTGGCTTCCAAAAAACAGCTCAGTATCAGCCGTATTGTCTATCGAAACCACTCTACATATTTAAGGCTCAACAGGGCACTGCTGATGCGCCACAAGGATGCAAACCTGCGCTTGACCAAGAAGTGCGGCACTGGCTTCCAAAAAGCAGTCAGCCGGATGTCACGTTTTTTATCGAGAAACATAGACATAGTTAAGGCTCGACAGGGCACTGCTGATACGCCACAAGGATGCAAACCTGCACTTGACCAAGAAGGCACTAGCTTCTAAAAAGCAGCTCAGTTTCCTGAGCAAAGCAATCAGCCGGCTGTCGATTTCAAGAAAATGGACATATTTAAGGCTCGACATTGCTTGCTTCTAGCTCCAACGATGCTGCACAAGGATGCAAACCTGCGCTTGACCAAGAGAGAGGCACATCCTTAGCACACAGGCTAACAGCAGAATCTGCGACACGCCCTTTCCCCGTTCCGAAACATTGTTGCAAGTGGTTCCTGCTGACTTGTCGAATCTATGTTTCTAGCTTCTTGAGCTGGTTTTGCCCGGGACCGTGTTGAGGGCTGTGCGACCATCCTTTACCGCAAAGACTGGGAGACACAGGGAACAGGCGTGAGACACAACCGCACAGACTGGGAGACACGGGGACAAGCGGGAGACACGACCCCGGAGCCGGCATCACAGCATCTGGCATCTGACCGCAGAGACTGGGAGATACAGGGACAAGCAGGAGACACGACCCCGGAGCCGGCATCACAGCATCTGGCATCTGCAAACACTGGGAGACACAGGCATATAAGCAGAGACAATCGGGAGACAAGACCACAAGACCTTAGTCACAAAAAACGGGAGACGGGAGACGTAGAACGACAAGCTGCCGGAGACACAGGGAGACAAGCGGGAGACACGACCCCGGAGCCGGCGTCACAGCATCTGGCATCTGACCGCAGAGACTGGGAGACACAGCCATACAAGCGGGACACACGACCCCGACCGCAGCGGAGCCAGCGTCACAGCATCTGGAACGGAGACAAGCGGGAGACAAGACCTTATGTCACAAAAAACGGGAGATGGGAGACATAGAACGACCAGCGGGAGACACTAGCCCGGAGCATGCGTCACAGCATCTGGCACCCAGACATAGGGAGACGGGAGACACGACCAGAGCCAGCGTCACAGCATCTAGCATACAAATGCGGAGACGAGAAGCGGGAGACACGACCCCGGAGCCGCATTTGGCATCTGACAGAGACTGGGAGACACAGGGATACAAGCGACACGACCCCGGAGCCGGCGTCACAGCATCTGGCATGCGACCGCAGCGGAGCCAGCGTCACAGCATCTGGAACGGAGACAAGCGGGAGACAAGACCTTAGTCACAAAAAACGGGAGATGGGAGACACAGAACGACAAGCGGGAAACACTACCCCGGAGCCTGTGTCACAGCATCTGGCATCTAGACACAGGGAGACAGCATCTGGCATCCGACCGCAGAGACGACCCCGGAGACACTGGGATACAAGCGGGAGACACTACCCCGCCGGAGCCTGTGTCGCAGCATCTGGCATCCAGACACAGGGAGACGTCACAGCATCTGGCATCCGACCGCAGAGACGACCCCGGAGACACAGGGAGACAAGCGGGAGACACAACCCCGGAGCCGGCATCACAGCATCTGGCATCCGACCGTAGAGAGTGTGAGACACAGAAAGAGAAGTGGGAAACACCACCCCCAGCGTCGCAGCCTGGCATCTGACCGCAGAGACTGCGAGACACAGGAAGACAAGCGCAAGACACGACCCCGGAGCCAACGTCACAGCATGTGGGAGACAAGCGGGAGACACGACCCTGGAGCCAGCGTCACAGCATCTGGCGCAGACACTGGGAAACAAGCGGGAGACACGACCCCGGAGCCAGCGTCACAGCATCTGGCATCTGAGGGAGACAAGCGGGAGACACGACCCTGGAGCCAGCGTCACAGCATCTGGCATCTAACCGGAGAGACTGGGAGACAGGAAGACAAGCGGAAAACAGGACCCCGAAAAGGGCGTCACACTTTCCCATTCTCTATACCTCAAGTTAGAACCCCAAATGCTTCGCTATTTGGGGAAAAAAGGGTACCCTTATTCTAACCTCTCTACTGCAGGACCTAGTTTCTGAGGATCTGGAAGGCACATTCCTTCTTGGGCTGGGAAAACCTTGTGGTCGAATCAACTAGTGTCTGTTTCTTGTCTGAGCCATCCAGAAGGAGGATCTTTGTAAAAATACTGTGGATGGACGAAATCCTGCGCCACTTTGAAAGTATGGGAAACCATTGTTTGTTGCGAAATTTTCAGGGGAATCATTATTCCAGGGTTTCCCAGGTGGTGCGAAATGGATTTCGTCCACTGGGTTGAAGATGTTTGAACCGGTGGCTCACCCCAGAGGTGGTTTCTTCAAGCCGAGTCTGCTCGCAGGCTGTGGAATGATAGACCAGCCCTGGATGAGGACATAGGGTAGATCTGGCCGGGTGCGCACCGGGCGACTCCATGTGGAGTAATAGTCAAAATTCACCAGGAGACTCCAGGTCTTGGTCCTTGTTTCCATTTACCAGGGTTCTATTTTGGGGTTACCCGATTTTTGACCCACAGCCATGTGGGGAAATGGTTTCTGCACCACCTCTTGCCAGCTGAATTGTCAGACTGGACCTTTCTTGGAAGGCGCCTGCATCAGTTTGCCTGAGCTGAAGGAGAGCCAACCGCCCGAATCCGGGAGTGGAACCAAGCATTCCAAAGGAATTCGAATCCTTGATTTGTTCAGCTGAAACCGGACGAAACACAAGCCGAATGCGACAACTCGACATATTTGTACAGATTCACGTAGGTGTGCATGTAAATACAATTGTAGTGTTGATAAGTGGGATAGTTCTTCCTGCAATCATGTTCCCTTCATGGATCTGCCCAAGGTAGCTAGGATGGCCCAACGCTGGCCACAAGTGCTAACGTCTCACCGGTGTCGCTCTGAGAGCTCTCAGGATGGAATCGGGCCTCTTGAGGGTCCTAAGAGCTTCCATGGAATTGGGATTGGCACGGGATAACTGGAAACAGAAAGCTGAGAGTCTATAGTCCCCTTTCAGAGCACTGATTGATCTATGGGGAGACAGCAACTTGCACCCAGAAATGAGGTGTGCACGTTACAGAGCGGAGGCTTCATTTGACCTGCGGCTTGCTATTTTCCAGGGAAACTACCACCCAAAGGCCCCAACGAAGGGATTTAGCCGCGAGGCCGCAATGCTTGTGAACCCCTCAGCTTTAGGGGGTGTGTTGGGGAGCCCTGGATGGGTGCAGCACAAACGTGCAGGCGCCAAGGTTTCACCGAATACCGGGCCGAAAATGTGTGCAAGAGAATGCAATGTATTGGACAGTGGTTTCTCAACTGTTCGCTTTCCTGGGGGTTCCAGCTATCATCATAGTAGTTCACCATTTCTATTGCCTCTAGGTTCTACACTCATTCTCTGAGTTCCTAGTTTTTCGTCACTTTGTGGGAAGACCATTTTAGTGGTCAACAAAAAGACGTTTTTGGCTCATTCACTGGTTCGCTTGGTTTACTTTCTGGGCTTGTCGGGATATGGGAAGATTGTCCCAATTGCCAGACTCAGCTCATCCCCTTTCGAAGAAACTTACCTCATCTTACGCGGTCTGGATTTGTGGGATGTGTCGTGACAAATCACTAGCCCAAGTTGGGCTAAGATGTGGGGCATGACAAAGGTCCTTGGATTGGGATTTCCATTTTTGGGTGAATCGTGAGAAATTGCTGAGGTACGAGTCCGTGGCATGAACATCTCATTTTTGCCGGATCTGGCGGCTGGCTCGAAGACCAGGAGCTTCACAGAAAGATCATGGGCCATTAGTGAAGTGACATCGCAGAGCGAAGAATGTGAGAAGAGGCAAGATTGAACATTTGCCATGGTCTTGTGTGTGGTTGCAATTTTTGCTGTGGATTTGGCGTTCGCCATGGACCTTGCAAACGAGGACTTGTCCTCCTTGCCCCTTGGCAGATGGCACTTTTGCTTGGGAGGCTCTATCAGGGTTCTATTTTCCCACTGCAGGGAGTCGCTTATCTTGCAACTCGGTCCCACGATTGAGTCCAGGTAGCTGTACCCCACCAACAGGCTTGGCCCCGCTTCGGGGAGTTCTAAGTGGAGTAAGTGGTTTAGCTGGGTCCTGACATGTCCTGACAGTCGTGGCCTAAGCCCGAACGCCTTGCTGGGTTTGTTGGTCCCGGGTGTAGGGCCCCTGAGCCTAGCTTTCCCTCTGGCACGTAAGTCCACCCTGCAGCACTCAGTCGGCCGCTACTTTCTTGGTCCTTTGAGACTTGTTCCGCAAAACATATGGCCCAGATCCCATCAGAAATCGGACCCCCCTTAATCCCAAGTCAATAATCATTAGCTTCCACCCCAATGTGGTTGGGGTTCGAAGGTGAAAGACTGTTGTGACATCAAGCAGTCTTCAGTGTCTACCCCTCATGGCTATATTATATAGCTCACATGTTTTTTTTTGTATATATATATATATAGCTGCATACAAGTGGTACGCCAGGCTAAAAAGCGTATCGTTCCCCAACCGGGTCATGCGACAAAAATACGCATGGCTAGGTCCGAGTCCGAGCTGCAAAGCTATGTAGAAGCTTTACGCAGTGCCTTCGAGCAGCGAGGCTCGCGGAAGGCAATCGCTCATGCGCCCTTGGTTAAAGTTAGCCTGGGTCCCCCAGTAGTGCCCTTGTACCCTTTTGTGGGGGAGGGTTCCCCTACTGAAATAGACTACAGACAAAAGTTGGTACCCGTATTCTAACCTCTCGACTGGAGGATCTAGTAGCTATACTCATTCCCCCGAACCCAAAAATGAATCCTCGCATTTCTGTAATCCTTGCAGGGTGATGTGTCGACGACATTTATTGGAAACATGTAGGGCGTGAATGGGCGTGCCAAGCGTAGGGTTCCTTCCGCGAGGCCTGGCAAGCCATGCTGGAAATTTGCCAACGACCGTGTCATGTGCTTTGTGATACCACTGGGAATACACATTCTTCACCTGAAGGAGGCAGGTGGCCGGGTATTACAAAGGGAGTTTGCACAGCCCCATACTCGACCCGAGATGACGTGATCCCACTCGCCCAGTGGATTCCGCCCTTTTTTCAACTTGTTGGGGAAGGGTTCCCCTTTAAACTCAACCAAACCAAAAAGGATGCCCTGTTGTTCCCATGCCGCTGGGCATTTGAGTGAGGCGAGAAGCGCCGGTTTTTGTTGATCGCTTTTCGATGTGACTGATCAGTTGAAGCCTTTGACGCCCTAGAAACCCTTGGTGTCTTGGTGGCTCCCAGCCATCCGGTTCCTGAGCTTGTGGGCGTGTGTATTTTACCCACTAAAAGATCAACTTTGAGCATGATGAGGACAGCCCAGAGTGAAGGCTAGTAAGTCCAGTCCATAATATTATGGATAGGTTCGCTTATGACTTGAATGACTCGTCTCTCTAGGGCTACCTTCCCCATTCTTTCCAGGGATCCTTGTTTTTAGGAAACCATCAAACACCCAGGGAAACATGGTTTTTGAAAAGAACGATGGTTGAAAAGAATGGGGAATCAACCCCTCCCTAGAGTCTCCCACAACGCTGCTTGGGGTCAATTTGAAGCCTCCCCCAGTGCTGATGCTGCGCGCAACAACTCGAGCCAGCATTCATTGAGTTCGAGTGGTTGCCTTTTGCCTTGTGTAATTAAATCAAATGCTTGAGATGTTAGTTTCAGTGCTAGGTCCCCCAGTAGTGCCCTTTTACCTTTTTTGCGGCAGGGTTCCCTTACTAAGATAGACTACAGCAAAAAGGGTACCCTCCTCTCTACTGGAGGACCTGGAGTGACATGCGTGCCTTGTGTCTTGTAGCTGCTGTTTTTTGTCGTTTGCTTTGCCTGCAGGGATGCCCTACAGCGCCATCTGTTGGTGCGGGGTCCGCGGTTGAAGCTAACGACCTCGACGGACAGGGAAGGAACTCAGGACCCTTTGAACTTGTGGCTTGGACCCTCCAACAAATTCCGGGTTCTCCTTTTGGTTTCCCTTAAAACCCACCAAACATGGGGTAGCCTCAAAACAGGACGGACCTCCCTGGCCCAGTCACCGCATCCGACCGCCAAACGTCAAGAAACCTGCCCAAAGGAACAGGATGGCCGGAGCCCATGGCAAGATTCAGACTTCTCACCGCAGCTTCGGTCAGAACTTGTGGAGGTTTCGGTTGATTTTCTTATTGAACCCAAGGGGCTCTCACCAAATTCTAGAGGCAACGAGGCTCACCTCGGGACAAGCCCTTCGCCCATGTCCTTCATCCGAGGTGTGAGGTACTTGAGAACCATATTGTTTTGTATCGAGCCACGTTTCGCAGAGCACGGGATCTTGGGCAAATTTGGCGCTGAGATGATTTTGCTTCGCAAACGTCACATGCCAGCCGCCTGCGAGCCTGCGAGCCACGCAGTGCCAGGATTGGAGTGGCCGACTCCAGTGAAAACGGCGCCTGTGCAGGCGCGGATATATTGTATGTCCCTGCCCGGCTTAGCATCCATCCTTTTTGGGTGGTTCGTTTTTCTCTAGTGCTTGTTTCCCTCGGCCAAAAACAAGGTGACTTTCAGCGGGTCTAGGTCTGCGTTTCTTTGTTTTCAGCTTCCGGCAAACAAATGACTTTTGGCAGCGGGAAATCTGGGGTTTGAGTCTCTAAATGGGATATGAGCAGCCTGCAATACGAGCGGGGTGTCGGCTTCGGGAATTGAGCTGTTCGGGGTGTCGGGTATCGGTTTTCGGTTCTGAGTAGTCTCCCAATAGCAATTTTCTTTGTCAGTCACTCATACAAACCCCTGAAAAAGTTGGTCATCAATTTCATCAATGAATCAACCAATCTTTCTCATTCCAGCCTCATTCCCCTCATTCCTCATCGCGGCCAACTCAGAGCTATGCGAGATTCTTGTGTGCAGTACAGGGAATATATACTAAGTGTTTTTTTTTAGATTTATTTTTATATAAAGAAGAAGAAAGAAAAATGCTTGGTGACCTTTTTGTTTAACGGTAGGCCACCATGAAGCCTGATCCGCCCTCAAGAAGCCTTGTGCAACCTCACTCCCCGCACCACTCGATGCAGTTCATTTGAGTTGGATCGAAATCGACACGTGCCTTTTCGGTCCCTTATCTTGTTTTGCAGGTCTGGAACGCTGCAAACCGATCCGGAGGTAGACGCCATGAAGTTACATCGACTCCAAGTTGTTGTTGCAAACTAAGATTGTAGATTAAGACATGTGCACGTCCCGAACCGACAGCCACACAGATGTCAAACCGATAGCCAACTCATCGGCCATGCCGAATCCAACCAGTTGCCCTGGAGCTGCCTAAGTCGTACTTTGTGTACTAATGTTGACCCCATAGAATAAGACATGTGCAGGGCCCGAACCGATAGCCAAACAGATATCCAACCGATAGCCAACTTATCAGCCATGCCGAATCCAACCAGTTGCCCTGGAGCTGCCTGAGTAGTACTTTGTGTACTAATGTTGGCCCCATAGAATAAGACATGTGCAGGACCCGAACCGACAGCCAAACAGATATCCAACCAACTCATTCGCCATGTCGACATTCCCCTCTTAATAAACCGGGGTTGATGAATCAACATAGGCTTGCACTGACCAGTTGCATCTTTTGAGCTGCAGCGCCGGGCGCCGTTGTGCTCCCCGGCTGGAGAAACCAACCCGTGGGTAGAAGCCGAGGCCAAGGCCAGCAGACGCTATGTAAGGTTACGAGGGCTGTTCAGGGGCTCGATTTTCTGAACCCGCTTTCCTTTTGAAGCAACGTAACGCTCAAAGCGTAGCAACTGTAGAAAAGGCCCATATGGCCTATGGATGTTGTTGGGGAACAATCTGCCTTTGGTTCAAATATGGTCTAAGGACAGCCGATATAAAGACCAACAACATCCATTTATAGCTTCACATATAATCGGTTGTCCTTTGGCTTCATATATGCATGGTTGTTGTTGGTTTGTTTGTTCAATGTGAAGCCAAAGGACCGATGATTGCCGGGTCCCATCGGGTCCCGACAGTTTGAGACGGGGGGATACCTGGACCTTGCATGCTCCAAATGTCCGCCTAATTGGGGCCATCGCGCGTGTTTTTTTTTGCCCACGGCCTTTTTTTGCTCAATTTGGGTGTGAAGCGCAATCTCCCCAAATCTACCGGCGAAAAGTCCCGACCAACAGGCGAACATTCCCGACTTCGGCACAAACAAACATGACCGCCGGCGTTTTTTGCGCGCACAAGGCATTTCTTCGCACCAACAACCAAAAACAAGGGCTTTTTGGCCAACACCTCAATTTTTGGACCCCCGGAAGGTCCAGGTATATAGGGGGTACGTGTTTGGGGCACCTACAGAAGCCAGGGATTATGTTCAGCCTGTTCTCTCAGGAGACTTGAGTCTTAGGGCATTTTCTCAGCGCATGGTTTGCGAGTCTTCCGGCGCTTGCTTCAGATGTGGTGTTGTGTGGGCCACCCTGTAACCTTGACCCTTCAAGTGTGGAACCCTTCTTTAGGGTGCAACTTTTCCCAACCTCGTTAAACCCGTCATTTCAACAGGGCACGGGCAAGCCGTAAATGAGGGGGGTGTCCTTTTTTTAAGGGTACCCTTCTGGGGTTGGTGTTGAAAGGAAACCACGAAGAAAGAAACTAACGGACCATTTTGAAGTTGAGTCTCTCTATTTCGAGACACGCCCATATATACCCCACTTTGTTCTGGGTCTCAGGGGAATCGCTCTTAGCATACGAACATGCAGGCCCGGCGCCCTGCGGCGAATGATGATGACGACGATGACGAGGAGGATGAGGATGAAGATGAGGATGAGGAGACGGCGACAGTGGATGCCCGACACGAAAGCATGTTGCATGTCCTGTAATGTACTTCCTTGCTTTGGTGGCTCCCAGCCATCCCCTTAGCTTGTTAGCCTTTTGGTGTTTTGTGGTAGTTTCCATGTAGCCCACTAAAGTTAGTCACTTTTAGCGGAGGATCTGAGCAGCCCAGTTGCAGATCAACATGGAACTCAACATTGCACCATTTGTGAACGAACATCTTGGGGGACATCCCTTTTGAGTTCGTGAATCAGCAGAGTGCGGACATTTGTCAGGGCTTGCTTGTGGTTTACATGTATTCAGGGAATCAACTGCTTGCGGTGGATTTTGAGGCCATCTGGAGGGGAGTTTTTCGAACTTTCTGAAAACAAATCCATCCCAGATCCTGCAAAATAGGGGAAACGGACAAAAATTGGCGTCTTGATTCTTCGTTTATAGATAGTCTGACTAGTGGCCACAGTCCGTCTTTGTTCTTGAGGGAACCCCTTGTTTGATGGTTTTAAAGGGAATCCAAGAAACCAAGCATTTCGGGGGCCCCTTAAAAAAAGCCGCCCCCACGTGTAGCTATACAGGTGCCTGGGCCCCTTTGGGGGCCCCCAAATTTAGGGCCCGACTGGCCCTGATAGAATGCCAGCATCACCCCCCCCCCTCCCCGCCATGTCTCTACCAGGGTCCGGCCCATGCCACAATCTCCAGCCTCCGGTTTCTATGGTTCCGCCCGGGGCCCTCGATCCCCTCCGGGCTGGCAAGTTGGCAAGGCCCCTCACGGCGAGGGGTTCGTGGAATCGGTCGGGAGGGAAATCCCACTCTTGTTGTTAAGCAGAACACCTGGTTTGTTCGGAGAAAGGTAGTGCCCAATCCGGTCACCCCCATAGGAAGCCCCCGAAACCAAGGCGCCTGAAATCCCGTTACCTTCTATAGTGACAACTGGATCCACTGCGAGAGAAAACATGGGAAAGTGGGAGAACATGAGTGCAGAGATGAGTAGCCGCAAGATTATGAAATGGGTAGACGTACATGGCCCAGAGATCCAGATGCCACGGTCTAGGCAACCTGGATTACCGCTAGGCGTTAGATGACGTTAGCAGGTTTTTTTGGTGCTGGCTATGGCCTATGATCCACGGGGATGATCTAGACTTCCCCAAACCTCTACCCCACTACCCCCGGTTGCGGAAAGTGCCTTTTACACCTTAAGAGCTATATCAAGTGGCCGTATATTTTGAAATTCGGAAGGGGGGCTAGCGGTTTCAGGCTTGAGGAGAGAGTGATGTTGACCAGCCTGTCGCAGGAGGGTGAGGATCGTGAAGGCATTGCCTCCCTGGAGAAAAGTGTTGACAAGGCTGGAGACGGAACTGGAAAGTGTAATGGCCAAACAGTTGGTTGCATAGGTGTCCTTTTTGGGTGTTTTGCTAGAAAAATAGTTGGCCCTGGTTGACCTGGTGGTTTAATCATCTACCAGGGCCATCTATTTCCCCTAAAAGGACACCTATGGTTGGTTCCTTTTGCGGAGTCAGGGCTCATCAGATGAACCACCCAAAACTGGGCGCCCCTTTGTTGCATGTCCACTGCAGAACCCCCCCCCCAAAAAAAAGAACGGAACGTTGCAGGATGGGGCTTTTTTTCTGGTGCCAAACAACTTGCCAGATTTCCCCCATGTTTTCTTTGGAACGGAGTTTTGGCGACCAGGATTCAGTTGTTTCAGACATCCATTCCTTGTGGAATTGTTGAGGGAATGAGTGTGTTTTCGCCCTTAGTCCAGCTGGTTGGTGAGTGCTTTGGGGTCGTGTTAACCAGCAATAATTATGCACCCGAAAGGTCGTGTGTCGGTCCTTATAGACAAATTAGCCTGTCAGCAAACCAAATGGTCCGACTTTTCACATCGTTGGGTCTACAAAACTAGGTTGGACCAACTTTGGATGTGGTTGACGCAAAAGGAAGCCATCATTCTTAGCCACCCTGTGTGGAGAGTATTCCTTGGCGAAAAGCCCTCGGGCCCACAACCAAAAGGGGAGGGGGGGGGAGGCAATGGAAACAAAACTCTCGTGTAGGTTGACACGGCACCGAGGAAGGCCATGTTCCCCTCTCGCCATATTGCCCTCCCCCCGAAGCCTCTTTCAGCCTGAAAGGCAGCCTCTTTCGGCTTCTAGTTGCAAGCCAAAAGGACGGCATTGGAAACCTACAAGAAAAAAGTCAGACCCGGGTCCGCTTGGAAGGGTAAGATCTATTTGATTATGTTCTTCAGCAGCAGTGGGTTTCAACATGTTTGCAGAAGTAACGGCACACACTTTTGGCTTGAGGGATGGTTTGTTTCTTCCTGCCACTTTTCCACGCAATGGAGCTTTAAAAGGCTCAACCCTGATTAGAACTTGAAATGTCATTTCATTTGGGTTTGTCTCAAAATAGGGGACCCCCCCTTGATTAAAAACAAACAACAAAAAAGTGGTTTCCTGTTGGTTTCCCTGCAAAACCAATCAATCACGGGTACCTCCAAAAAAGAACGACAGACCCATTTCAGTTCCCTCTTGCTTTGTCTTAACCAAAGATGGGGCTTCTCCGAGGAAGCACACTCTATGCGATCCGCCTGTTGGATTTCCGGCGGGCTTGGGTTTGGTTTTCGGCCCCCAGGAGGCCGAACACCCTCCCTTTCGGATGCGATGAAAACCCTGGGCTCAAGTTGAGAAGCGGTCTGGTCCAATGGATTGAAAGCAATCCCCCCTAGGGGAGGGGGATGGGAGCAGGATGACAGGGTTTGGGGTCCCAGTTCCATTGATATCGTCCTTTTCCCCCATAAAAAAATAAATAAATGGAACCAATGGACTTCCAGTGTCACATGGAACCAATCCGGAATTCCAGCAACCCCCCCAAATTCATCAAATTGGTTGGCACCCCCGAAAACAACTTCTGCGAAGACCCGTGGGACCTTGGATGCAATGGATTTTTTAGGGACCCGGAACCGGGAGGCATTGGGCATCTTCCCCCTCTGCCTCTGGCAGGTGCTTTTTGACTTCCGCCTGGGCGAGCTGCCCAGTGGCGTAGAGCACGAAGGGCAGCCCGCGCGGCTCATGCGCACTGCGGATTCAGGCGACGACCGGCGCGGCGCACGTCCAGCGGTCGACCGGGTGTTGCGCGGTCAGCTGAAGTAGCTCCCCCAGCTAGGTGCCCTTTTTAGCCCCTTTTTTGGTTGGGGGGGCTTCCCCTACTAGAATAGACTACAGAAAAAAAAGGTACCCTGATTCTAACCTCTCTGCTGGAGGACCTAGTTAACTTCTGTTTGAGCTGAAATGACTTGATTTGCGAATTTCCCCTCTTGGTGTTTAAGGGAATCTGTCACTACTGGAGTATCTTCTTGTTGAATCAAATGGAAGTTAAGAGTGCTTGGCTTTTCTCACTTCCTGAGTTTCTGGTAACTTTATGGCTGTTTGGTAACGAATCTTTGGACTCTAACAGTAACATGTTGCTTGAAACAGGTTGGATGCCACAAAAAAGTTGCAGGCTTCACTCTTGTTGGCAAGTATTATTTTTGTTGGGGTTCTGTTCATTTGTAGTAGGGGGCTTCAAAATAACAGTCAGGTTTTTGCCAGCCCATAAGAACGGTTGTAAAGTTGGCTTGTGTCACTCCCTGCGGGACTTCCCTTTGGTTTTTCCAATTCTTGACTTTCCAGAGTCTGTGGAGCAAACCCTTCACTCCAATGTCTCTGCCGCGCCATTTCCCCTTTGCCTGCGCTTGGTGTTTGATCGCCCAGAGGGAACCATGTACAACCCGAAAGTCGACTGGTTAGGAGGTTCTTCCCTTGTACTCATGTACCTATTTTATCTGGCTTTGCCAATACCCTTTGGCACCTGAGCATTCCTTTTTCTTTTTCTTTTTTTCGAGCTCGTCATGGAGGCCCCTCAGATCCGGGGGGATCTGTCAAAATGGGTGTGGCTCAAAATGAAACAGGAGGGGGTACGCAGGGTTTGGTCCATGTTTCCCCTTACCAGGGTTCCCTTTTGGGTACTGGTTTTTTGAGCCACAGCCAAATGGCACATGCTCCGCTGCGACAGGAGATGCCACGGTACTTTCAGTTCCGGCCGGAGGCTATCTCAGGCTGCCGTTGGACTTCCCAGACGCTTGACACGAGAGCGCCGCTGTTTATATATATATATATAGATACATATGTATATATATATATATGTATTGGGTCTTTACAAGACTAGGGTACCGTTTTTCCAAGAATCGCGCAAATCAACAAACACCTTCAAAGGGAAGTAGTCTTGCAAAAATCCTCAGCTTTGAACCATTTACCCTCAACATGGAACCAGAGGGCTCAGCTTGCACAATTTATTGTCCATTGGACATCTCGCGGTAGCTTTCTCTGGTTCGCAAGCCTGTGACACGCCGCAAGGCGCAACTCGATCTGGAGGGCCCCAAATCCATCAATTGGAGCCTTTGGGTCGAAATTGAGTACCCCTCGTTTGAAGCTCTAAACAGAGACATCAACATGAAGCCAGCCAATACGGGCCCTGCTATTGGAAGACGCGTGTTCTTTCAGGGTAGTTGGTGAATAGTGGAATCCCCCAAACAGTGACTTTGCACAATAAAGGTCAAGCTTGTCAGGAGGGTTGGGAAGGTTACCTGGACTGTTGTGCTGTTGGAAACGCCTCGGAATGTACGGCTTTATAGCCCCGGTCCCAATCCAAGCCTTCGTTTTCAGACCCAACCATCCCTTGAGTTTGGGATATTGTCCATCTCGTAAGTTGAGGGTTCTCATGGACTCATGGACGGTGGGTTTGCTGGGACGGGGAGATGCTGGGGATTTCTCAAATTTGTGGCCCCCTGTGTTTTGGCTACAGGGAAACCAACTTGTTTTTGCTGGGGGGTGGGGGTCCACCATTTCTTGGTATCCCCTTAGCTTTAGCCTTTTTGTGTTTGGTGGCAGTTTCCATTTAACCCACAAAAAGTTAAACTTCAAGCGGGGGATCCGAGGTCAGCCCAGATTTGGAGAAGCCCACGGCTGTGCGTTTTGTGTGCGTTTTTCTCCCAGGAGAAGCACGGGGCGACGGTGGGGCAATACACCCTCATCGTGGAGCTGCGTACGAGCCATCCGCGGCCCCTGTCCCTGTTCCAAGCAACGTGGCCGGAGGTCTCGGCGACTTGGCTGCAACCCGGGCCCTCCGTTTGCTTCCATTTGGCTAATAATATGTGTTATGGAGGTTTATCTATTTTAGTTTTTTTTTTTTTCTCCGATTTTTTTTTTGATTTGTTTTTCGCTTTTGGCTCCTTGGCTTTTTGGCTTCTTGGCTTTTCGGCTTCTTGGCTTTTTGGCTTCCCAGCTTCTGGGCTTTTCGACTTTTTGTTGGTTTATGCGGCTTTTGGTGGCTTTTTGGCTTTGGCTTTTCGAATCCTCTGCATTCCCAGTTCCTCTTCGGCAGGTGGCGTTTTGGCTTTTGCGTTTATGCGGCTTTTGGCGGCTTTGGCTTTTCGCATCCTCTGCTTTCACAGTTCCAATCTGGGCTCTTTGGATTTTGCAACCTTTCATTGGTTTTTGGATTTGGCTTCCCGCATCATCAGCATCACCAGTTCCGCCCTATTTGAATCATTACTTCTTTGAACATCATGGGGGGGAAGCCCCCCCCCAACCCACCCGATACTGTTTAGATTGTTTGCAGAGTAATTGCACCCCTATTTGAATCATCACTTTTTCGAGCGTCCAATTTCGCGAGAAAATGCTGCAAAATACAATATTTTAGGTAATCTGTGTAATCCATGTATGTCTGTATGTATGCACTTCTTCGAACATCATAGGGGAAGCCACCCCCGCCACCTGCTGCCTGTTAAATTCTATCGCACCCTTTCTTGAATCATTGCACCCCTAGTTGAATCATCACCTCTTCCGACATCATGGGGGGGGCTGCCGCCCCCCCCCAACCCCCCCGCTACGCTTTAGATTTTCTACAGAGATTTAATTGCACCCCTAGTTGAATCATCAATTCTTCGAACATCATGGGGGGGGGTGCCGCCTCCCCCAACCCCCCTCCTACTTTAGACTTTTTGCAGAGATTGAATTGCACCCCTATTCCGCCCCCCCCAACCCCCCCGCTACTTTTTAGTTATTTTTTTTCAGGGACTGAAATGCCCTCCTGTTTGAATCATCACTTTTTTGACCCCGTCAACCCGCCAGCTACTTTTTTGTTGTTGTTACCCTTTGTTGGTGATGCTAGGGATGTTGGTCGGACATGCGGGGGATGTTGAAAACAATGCTGGGGATGTTGACGGGCTAGTGTAAAATGCGTCAATCGAGAAAATGCTGTAAAATACGACATTTTACTGGTTTGGTCGAAAAACGAAAAAGCATCTAAAAAATACGAAAAAACAATCCCGAAATAAATCCGCACCCATTTGTTATTTTCTCGTTTGGTTTTGCAGGGGGCTTTCCTCTTCAAAGGCCATACATCAGGTCACCCGAGTGGTTTGGATTTTAGCGGTTTGGGGAATTTCACTCTTGGCTCTTGTGATGTGGTGGTGTATTTTTGAGCCCTACCTCAGTCAACCCTTGGTTGGTGGTTTGGATTGGTTTGAAATTGGATTTGAACCCCTGGTTCCTGTGGATGGGCAACCCCTCCATTTCACCACCGCATCCAAACCCTCAGTTGGCGGGAAGCTGAAAACCAAGGCCCTTCACGGTGGTTGCGTTTTTTTGCAGTAACATCCTTAAAAACAGAACATGTTCTCTTCGAGCATCGAAGGACCTACGTTCGCCGACCGGGAGCATTCTGTCTCAAAGCAATGCTGGTTGCAAGAGTTGGATCCACCCCTAGAATTCCGGAGCAACCAGGGAGTTGCTTGGTGGTCTTTTGTGTCGTCTTTCCCAGACTTTCTAAACTTTGGTGCATTTTGCTTGGATGTTAGGACTTTAACTGTTTGCCAACTAATGGGTTTTTCCATCAAACCACTAAAACATAAACTTTTAGCAGGGGAGCAGAAAAGCAACCAAGTAATCACGTCCGCAAGAAGTCAACGGGATCGAACCTCGTGTCCCTCCATGGACAAGGCCCCGCTGCATCTTGTAGCAGAAGAAGTTGTGGACAATTGCCGAGACCTCCCGTGCAACCTGTGCTCTTTTTGGAGGCTAGGTCCCCTAGCTAGGTGCCCTTTCTCTCCCCTGTTTTGGTTGGGAGGGTTCCCCTACTAAAATAGACTAGGGAAAAAAAAGGTACCTGCCCTTTCTCACGTTGGGAGGGTTCCCCTACGAAAATAGACAGAAAAAAGCGGGTACCAACTTATCCTAACCTCTCAAATCTGGAGGACCTAGGAGGGGCGTCCCGATCACATCAACTGACCAAAGGTGTCCTCGTCGGTCCGTCTTGTTTTTTTCAGCGAAATCTACTGGAGGTTAGGGACTGGGCTTTGGGTTTGGGACTGCAGTTTAGGTTCACTTTCTGTGACACAAGAGAATCCCCTTTCAAGTGACGTAGCCATGCAGATGGGAAGCCCACCTTGGTGGCACACAAGGAGTGCAATTGTCTCTACTGCTGTTGGGTTGGATCTTTAGACTTTAACTTTTTGGATTCCCCTCATATTTCCTTCAACCAGCAAGAAGTTTAACTTTTTGCTGGGATCCACAGCAGCCATTTTGTTTCATGTGCGAAAGCCGAGCGACTGACCTGCGAAGTTGATGATTGTCAGTGGCATGCGGAGAAGTGCAGAAAGCCATATGGCTATGGGTCAAAACCCCGGTTAGCCCCAGTGAACATCCCAATCCCCACTAAAATAGACTAAAATGGGTGGTGCACCCACCCCAAAATGGAACCGTTGGTGTTCATATTATGCACAAGATTGCTTGGGTCAGAGTTGTTTGATCGTTGCGTATCCGTTTTGCAGATGGTCGTTTGATGATTCGCCGTCGGTGTGGATTTCTTGTGGTTCTTTCTGTAGAAACACAGGAAAGCCATATTTGCAGAAAATTTGTCCTATTCCTAACCATGTACCCCTGGGCAAGGTCCCCCAGCTATGACCCCAGATCCTGTGATCTTGTGATCTCAACATCACCCTTTAGGCCCAACTTAAATGAGTTTCATCATGGGCTGATGTTTGACGGGGAATTCAGGGAACCCGGGAACCTGCCTTGCGCTTTGGCCATTGCCCGTAGGTCCTCTCAGATAGCAGATTCGAACCTTCAGCCCCACAAAAAGAATCCCAGAGCCTCGACAAGGACCTGGAAAGGGGAAGGGTCTTTTGAGTTTCTTGTGCAACCACCCCTTCTGCAAGAAATCCCCTTCCATACCGTCCCATGCATTTGTTTTCCGGTTGTTTTCCTTGCAGGCGAACCACGCCACGATCTCCGAGTGCATCTTGGACGAAGCTCGAGTGCTGGTGGGCGGTGCCGAGAGCGACCACGTCGTGAAGTCTTTGGCATCCGCTCGACGCTCGATGCAATGAAGGGGCTGACTTTGATGCGATCCACTACTATGTCCCCCAGTAGTGCCCTTTTACCCTTTTTTGGGGGAGGGTTCCCCTACTAAAATAGACTACAGAAAGAAGGTACCCTCTCTACTGGAGGACCTTGTCTAAGTGCAGGACCGCATGGCGGCACTTGGAACGACGCGAAATCAAAGAGAGTCAAAGGGCACTGGATATGACTTGGGGGGATGACTTTCTGGATATGTTGGTATCGATTTAGTGGCAACAGTGCTAAATCGACCAACATGCACCTACGAGGTTTCTGATGGTTGCTTTCATTTTTCCGTGTCTTGGGATGTCCCATCAGACCCGTGAGCACAATTCACAACCAGATCAAACAAGCACATAATTCAGTGGGAAACCTACTACTTTGCAAGATCGTGTCCAGGATTTGGCTCGTACACATTCAAGGACACAATTGTGCCCCGAGCATATACCGCATTGTCGCTGGGTGCAGCGCAGTGCACACAGTGGAGCCGCCTCTTGCTGGTTTGAGTGAACACCTTTTGATCTTAGCAGAATGTGTGGTACCTGAGATTCATATGCAAGGGTGCCAAGCATTTGCCTGCAATCACTTGTCGTCAACTTGGCACTCAATGTCACACCTGTGACAACCTGCATGTGCATTGCATGCAATTTTGCAAATGCATCAAGTGCTTCACTCTGCAGTGCAGAGCGGCGTGTGTCATGAATGGGCACTGCCGCAACAGGATCATGATGATGATGATGATGATGATGATGATGATGATGATGATGATGCTCGCACACATGGTTCAGGGTTCTCGGTGATGCGCAGGGTGGCTGAGCGAGGATCTCATGCCAGTAGCCTTCTCTACCTTGGTATGCAGATTGGTGCTATGCTGACTATCCCTGACAAGTTCGCATTTGTAAAAGAAGGGAACACCGGTGTCTGAGAGCTCCAAGCACTGGTTTCAAGACAAAATCGGCAATACCCAAGGAGGCTTCATGTCGCAGATCGCGCTTGCCAGGCGGATGGCTGCAATGGTTTTAACAGCACGATCGTGATACCTCGGATGGCTTACCCTGCGGTTGTGCATCGTCCAAAACCTCATCAGTTGCGCAAGTGGCGCTCGTCATTCAGGCAATCGGCTTGGTGCTTACCTTGCTACTATGTTTTGAAATGAGAAGGTTGAAACTGTAGATCCTTATCATGCGCTTCTTTGGAGCGTTTGGAGGCCTCTTCCTCAATTGGACCTGGATTAGGCCCCGAAGTTGCGCGTGATGTTGTGTCGCGTCGGCAGGCTATCTCACTTGTAGCCTCTCTCATGATCTTCAAGGATGCTAACCCTGCTTCTATCACTGCCGCTACTGTGAGACGCATCGCCAGTAGCGGATTAAACACACCGTGGATGAGATTTCAAAAAGATTCGCGCCAAATCCAGACTGTCCCAATTGTGTTTGAGAAGCTGCTGACAATCAATATGTCCTTGGGCAGTGTGCGTGTTGGCAGTGTATTAGAGATGGTTGGAGCACACCATGGCCCTTGTGGCAAGAACTTCATGTGTGAGACACTTCCTTCTTTGCAGTGAGAATGCGCCTGCAATCATCAAACAGGCTTGGAAGCAGACACGAGCTGATGTTTGTGCATTAGTACAGGAATGGGAAGCGAGCAAGCCCGATCTTTTCGACAATGCTCGCCCCGCTGACATTGCTCAGCCTCACCCTCTTCCCTTTTTTGCTTTTGACAGCCCGCGCGTGACTTCTGAAAGCGCGGCAAGACTTTTTTATGCATCCGCGTGATTCCCGCTGAGTATATCCACAATGGATTTCTTGGGTGGCAAACTCCGGGACTTTCAGTATATTGCCGCTTGTATGAGCTGGACGCGCTGCGATCCTGCGGGCTGGAACCTACCCCTGGATAGAACTGCTGGTTTTTTTGGTACTGACAATGCAAGGGCTATCAAAGCATTGTTAAAGAAACTACCTGGACATTTTGCATCTTCTGGGAAAAGCTTGATGAAAGCTTGCAATGCTGCATTTTCAGGATTTTACCAAAGAACAGATGCACGCTGACCACGCCGTGACCAAGATCATTGAATGTCCGCCGATGAGTCGAATGCTGACTGGTGGGCAACTTGCGCGAGAAACGAAGCTCTGCCTGCCCGGCTTTTTGCAACATCAATGAGGAACATATTGCACAAGGAAAGCGCCCAATCCGCTGGACTGAGCCAAAGCTGACCTACGCAAGGAGCATGACCTTGGCTATTGCGAGCATGGTCGGCAGTCAGTACTTGCTGACGGGCGTTGAAAACAAGAACGGCGTCTTGAAAGGAAAAATGGCGCCTTTGCCCCAAGTAAAGACTGGCTGCCCAGCAAAGGAATCGAGCTTTCATCCTTGTGGGAGTGAGCCGGAGCCAGAGAGGCCAAGGATATGCTCGTCACAGGGCTTTATTCAGGGGCTAGGGCTAATGAGGGATACCCATAGTCTCCTCTCAGAGTCCATCCGCGCATACTTTTGAGCGATTGCCCTGCTCCTTTGCCTGAGAAACGAGTCATTGGGAGAGTTGTGCCCAGTTGTATGTCGATTCAAGCCTGGAAATGAATCAGCCACATCTAACCGCAAAACGCTTTACACTTGCAATACTCAGGGCGCCCCCATAACCCTCCCTCCCATGTTGCCGTGGAACCCTTTCCAGCAAATTTAGAACCCAAGCAACTACCCTAAAGAGCAACTTCTTAGGGGCGGGGACTTATGTTGATCGCCTTCCTGTGCACTAACACGGCCCCGTTTTGGGGAACATAGTCTTCCAGGACCCCGAAACGGCATTCCATGTTAGCGGATGGGAAGGCAACCTGGCGGAGTGCGAGTTTGGATGAGATTGGTTGACCTTTCACGTGAACAGGTCATGAATTCCAACCGACCGGGGGCCAGGCAACTGTGCTGGCCTTAGAAAGTGGGCTGCTACTCATAGGGCGTGTCGTTTGAGAACGTTGCTTCGAGTTCAAAAGGACCCCAAAGAGAAACTACACATTCTGAGAGCCAAGCCTCAGCTAAGTGCACGCTTCACTTGGCAACCAAGGACAGCAGAATCGCTTCGTCCGCGTGTTTTTTGTTTGCGATTCAGTGGAAGGCCAGATCAGTGTCTATGTGAGCCCTGGCTGCAGCCTGTCCGCCGACCCTTAGCCCCCCTTTCGACAGCAAGGGCTCCCTGAATGGCTGTGGGTCAAAAATAAGTACCCAAAATGGAATCCTTTTGCAGGTTTTCTGGTGGTTGAATTTTGATCCATACCCAAATGTCCCTGAAGTGTTCAAGCTAGCAGGGTCCAAGCAACTTCTAAAGGTGTGTCGTTGTCCTTCAGGTTGGATTTTGCCTAGTTCTGAGCAAGGAAAGGTTTAAATCAAAAATGAGACCTCGGTCAGCATAATACTTCTATTGATATTGGTTGCTAGAAAGGTGTAGCTACTGTACAGGTTAAGCCTGCTTTCGTTATCGGAATCAACCAGACAATTTGACTCCACCAAGAAAAGGGAGCAAAGCGTTCGGTGATTCGGGGGTTTTGAATAGTGTTATTCAGAGAAGCGCATTCTTGGTCGCTAAACATTCGCAGCATAGTCCGCCTTTTTCCAGGCGGGATCAGGATCAAGCCCAGCAAGTCAAAGTTGCAAGTCGCAGTCCCCCGCAACTGTGCTGCAGCTCGGTCTTTTTGAGTCGGGGGTTCTCTGAATTGACCTGCAATTAGCCAGTTACTTTGTTACCACTATACTACGGTTGGTGGCTGGTGACTGCAAGCAAACTACTTGTTTAATGGTGGTACCCTTGCAAACCTAGCGTTCGTTCGGAAGCACTGGAAAGGGTGTTCTGTTTGTTGTCCTATCATGAGTGATTGTCTCTTCCAACACCCCATAACCCCATTCCAAGTGTTTGAGCCCTCATAGCCTTTCTTCCAGTTTTGACCGATTCTCTGGAAAGAAGGATCTCTGCGTTCAGAATGCTTCACAATTACTTTCATTGTTAAGACTCTAACTAATACACTATTGGTTAGGTCGCTCTTTATATTGGACCCCTTTTTGTTGAAGCATGGTGATTTGAGTATTGTGTCCGCATACCAAGGCGGACATTCAGCGCATTTGAAACGTCATGTGGCTAGGCTTAAACAAAAATAATGGAACCTCAAAAGTGGTTGGTGGACAGGAATTTTCGCGAAATTATGCCACCAAGCCGAACCATCTCCCATCCCTTCAAGCCACAAACCAGCGAAGCTAGGTCCCCCAGTAGTGCCCTTTCTCACCAACTTTTTTGGGGGAGGGTTCCCCTACAAAAGTAGACTACAGAGCAAAAGGTTGGTCTTATTCTAACCTCTCAAATCTGGAGGACCTAGTAGACTATGGACTACCTTAAAACGTCATATGACTCACATGACCCAAAGCGAAACCATCTCCCATCCGTTCAACCTGCGAGCTAGCGTAGGACCCCCGACCTCCGAGCCGTTCGGTTCGTTCGGTTCGTTCCGTTTGGAGAGGAACTCGGAGACGGGGCTGACGGTGGGCAACATCCAGGGCACACGCTGGGCGTTGGATCGCAAGGGCTTGCTGCTGTTGGCCAGCAACAGCCGGGAAGCCCCAGGAAGACAGCCCTCGCGTTTTGTTCGTATTTTGTGTTTTTTTTCCGGGGGGGAGGCCGGGGAAAAGGGGGGGAGATCCCTGAAACAGCTTTGTTGTCTTTTTTGGAAGGGGCTTCCCTTCGTATCTGAACATCAATTCTCTTTGTTGTTGTTTTCGATGAGGGGGGGTGGGGACCCTCAAGCCGCAATTGCCAACCAAGAACGCCAAGGGCGAGCACCTTTTTGAAGGCAACTAGGTTTCCCAGCTAGGTGCCCTTTTACCCTTTGTTGGGGGAGGGTTCCCCTACTGAAATAGACTGCTGAAAAAATGCACCCTTATTCTAGCCTCTCTACTGGAAGACCTGGGCAAGGGCACTGTTTGTCTTCTCTACACTTCTTGGGCTTAAAACACATTTTGGGACTTGGGGAGATCATGGAGGACCGGGTGTGTTAGTGGGAAACAACGTGTTGGAGATTTGTGGCAGTGTCCTACAGGAGCGAAAGCTTGGGTCCTCAGTGGAGCCGCCTTTCTAATTCTTTACATGGTTTTGGGTAGAACAGTTCAATCCCGATCGGTTTTGATTGTGACTCCAGTCGTTTCTTCTTGGGTTGGCGTCGACATCCTTTGGAAATGAAGGCACCCGGCTGAAGGCCTGAAGGAATCTGCGCACCATGGCCTAGACCATTGGATGACCCTCCTTGTACAGCCATCATGCGGATTCCTAAAGCCATGGCTCGCAAAAGCAGCGTTTTGGAAACTCTGGCAACAGGTTACTTTACAGTATACCCTGTGCTTGTGGTGTCTTCTAACCAGTCCTATAAGCCACTGAAGCAATCGACCCTGGCTGCGGAACTTATCACTTCGCGATGAGATATCCCGCTAAATAAGTATACCCACAACTTGTTCATCTTGCTAGTGCAAGACCTACAATTTGTTGTTGCAGGTGACTTCATGCAGGCAACTATGGCTTGTGCAGGCGCCACCATTTTTGGGATGACTAACAGGCGTGTCCTTCTTGTGCAGCCACAAAGAATCAGCTGGAGCACGGTTTGCCCTATGAGCTCGGGCTCACAACCCTCTTGCAAGAACATCCCGACTGGCCCAAAAAAAGAAGAAAACCGGGGGGCCGATTCAACGAATCGGTGGCACTGGGTCAATGAAACTGAAGCATCCCAAAGGCAGTTTCTCATGATCTTCTTTCCCCAACCCCCCTTCCCATTTCGACCGAGAGACCCATGCGGTTCGCGGGCGTCATGAGAGTTTCAGGTGCCACCTACATGCCCGGCGCTGAGCTCAAGCGTGTGGAGTTACACCGACGCCTCTTCACTGAGAAGGAGAACCCACCCGCCGGCGTTCGGCGGCCAGCGCCCGTTGTTTTTCCTCTTTTTTTTGTTGTGTGTGTGTGTGTTTGTTTTCTTTTTCTTTATTTCACGCGATCTTTTTTTTGGGGAAATGGATGTCATTTTCATAATTTCATGGAGGCCCCCTCGTTTTTTTTTTCTTCTTTTTTTATCGTTTCGGACGCCAGGATCTTAGAGATTAGGTGTCGAAATGGACAGCTTGACACCCCCAAAACGTGTGGATGGGTGTGTTTGGGTTCCTTTGTTGGACCTGAGAGATTCAGGGAACCTGGCAAGGTGGTGACTGGGAGCCAAGGCTGGTTTGGTGATTTGAAAGGGTAGCTGGGAAATTCTCCAAACCGCCAATTCGACCTAGGTCCCCAGTAGTGCCCTTTTGCCAACTTTTTTGGGGGAGGGTTCCCCTACTAAAATAGACTACAGAAAAAAGGTTGGTACCCTTATTCTAACCTCTCCACTGGAGGACCTACTAGACGGAAGCTGAGAGATTGGTTGGACCCGCAAAAAGATGGTGGAGGGTAGTTTTGGGTTCCTTTGGAAGGTTTCCCCGAACAAGGGACACCCTCCCCCAAGAGTCCCCGCGGAATCCTTCCGTTTCTGAAAAGAACTAACTCCTCCCCCCCCCCCAAAAAAAAAAAACAAACAAACACAAGGACAAGCAAAAAACAACACAGAAACAACAAGTGGAACAGCCCCCTCCCCCCAAAAAAAAGAGAAGAAGTCCAAAAAAAGACCCCCCAAAAACAAACAAACAAACAAACAAACAAACAAAAAGTCCAGGACGTGAAGGCGCACGCCTCGGTGCGGTGGTCCTTCCGCGGCGCCGCGCTGAGCGCCGCCCTGAAGACGCTCCGCGGGAGGTTGGCGCTGGCCGCCATCGACAAGAAGCCGCCCCTCGGTTGGGGGTGGTTTACTCACTTCCCTGGGTTCATGGACTCTAACAACTTGTTGGGTGTGGGTTTGGACCGTTGGCAAAGAAAAGGTTTGGTGACTTGCTGTTTTGCCAATCTATTCTGGAAGCGCAAACTCGGCTTGGGGGTGGGGAGGGTTGTAGCATAGGGGTTGGTATCAAAATGTCCGGTCCAGAAAGGCGACTGTGCGGAAAGGCGATGCTTTTTCGAAGCAACCAAGAAGCCCAGGCACACAGAAAGGAGGATTGGGTGGCAAACCGCTACAATGTATATATATATATATATACACGTACAATTTTCCATGTTTGTTTTTGCACGTTCCTTTGTTCAACTGGGAGACTGCACCATAGAAAGGTTGTTCCAGTTGTCCACCGCCCCTCGGCTCGAGGGAAGTTTGTCGGGAGTGGTTTACTCACGTCCCTTCCTGAGTTCATGGACTTTAACCACTTGTTGGGTTTGGGTTTGGACCATTTTGGTGGTATACAACAGGTTTGGTGACTTTTCATGGGCCAATCTATTCAGTGGGAAACATGGGATGATTGGGTGGGAAGCCTCTCAAAAGACATATAGATGTATTGCCCTCTGAACGGGAAGATGCATTTGGGGGTTCCCTGCACCAAGGGGAGTTGGTTTGCGAAAGGCAGCTTAGGAGGGTTCCGGAGATTCGGTTCTGAGGGGGTTTGGGGATACCACCTCAGCTTGAGGTTACCAACTTGAGGTTCCTTTGTTCAACTGGGCGACTGCACCATGGAAACGGTTCGTCCAGTTCTGCGGGGCGAAGAATTTGTGGGACTTCACTTCTTTAACTCAAAAAGGGGGGAGGTGGGCCCCGAACCAATGGAACATTTAGTCAGGCCCTTGTGAAGTCTTTCTCTTTGAAAGGTTTTCACCCCCAAGCCAACTCCCCAACAGAAACTGGATGCAAACCCCCTAAACTTGATTTTGACGGGTGCAATCCTTCCACCTTTTTGGGGGAAGCCATTCTGAATGCACAAGGGTTTCTGGATCCCGAGTTTGGGGTTGTCACCCACCAAGCCAAATGAGATACACCGCCCCAAAGGACAAGGGTCTGTATACGTCCCTGTTTGTTCCGGGGTCTGCTTGAGCCTCCAAAAAAAGCTCAAGCCGGGAAGAAGTACCCACATGCAGGGAATTTGATTGCCATTCGAGGGTAGACCCCTTCCAACCGTTCCCAACCTCCCGAATAAGGCCAGAAACGAGCTCCATCCCCTGCGGGGTTTGGTGCGCCATGCATTGGCTTCACTTCATGTCTTCTGTTCTTGAACTTGAGTGCTGTCATGTAAAAATTGGCGGGCTGGAAAGCAGAATCTGAGACACCAGCTACAGGAACATCTACGGGAATTCCTTGTTTTTGTTGGGTTTTTGGCACAGTTCCTGTAGAAATTCCTGTGTATTGTTTCTTTCAAAAATTGTGTTCTCATAAGGGTTGGATAGGCTACACGAGAAGCTTCTTGCCTCAAGGGCCTTTGCAGCGGCAAACTCGTCGAGAGGTCGGCCGATGGCTTCGCTTTTTGTGGCAAAGTGGCTGTGGGTCAAAACCAGTGGTACCATTTTAAAATAATTTTGGCGTAGGTGCACCACTCATTTTGGAACCTATTTTAGTGGTTGGATTGGGAGGTTCACTGGGGGTACGATTTGGATTTTGACCCATGGCCATTTTGTCGGGTGGTTTTTTGGGCTCCGACGACTCCGCGGTCTCCGTCCACGCGCAACTTGAGGCAGCCCATTTGGTGCGACCTCTCGCCGCTTTGGTCTCCACTGACCCGTTTTTTTTCGGGGTGGGGTCGAAGCTTTGGTCAGGTAAGCAAGGTCCCCCACCTTTCTCACCCCTTTTTGGGTTGGGAGGGTTTCCCGTACAAAAATAAACTACAGAAAAACGGGTACCCTTATTCCAACCTCTCTACTGGAGGACCTAGTCAGCATTTGGATTGTCAGGTTACCCGTTAGGTTGGTGCCTTGAATTGGTGGATCGGGGTTTGACCCCCTATGGGAACCCGCCCTCCGATTCACGCCGCTTCTCCCAAGAAAGCTCTCGATGGGCTTTCTGTTCTTTCCCGCGGGAAGGCGCAGAGGCTTTGGCGTAGCGAACGCCGAAGGCTTCGGCTCCAAAGACCTGTTGCAAGCAGTGGAGTCCGACAATTGTTTTTCAACTTTTTGGTTGAACCCAACCAACGTTGTTCCCCTTTTAAACTCAACCAACCAAGACAAAATGCCTCCTGGTCCGTGGGCATCTGAGAGTAGTTTGAGGTGGTTTAAGATCAACTTTCAAGACAAAGACGCGGTACCCGAAGAAAGTCCACTGCTCTGGGTCTGAGTTGTTGGATTCGGTTTTGTTTTGCTCACATGGCTCACATGGCTCACATGGCTCACATGGCTTGGTTTTGTTTTGCTCTGTGGAGGTGGATCAATATTCCATTTAAATTTAGCTTCGGCCCCCAGTTTTGACCCAGGGTAGCTTTGTCCATGTCATCGGACCAATGGTCATCCCATGCAAAGGACCTTTGGATCAACCCCCTTTTTTTTCACCCGGACTTGATGGGACAAAGCCAACTCCTCTTTCTAGCGCATGAGCTGAGGCTTGGAGGGGAGTTTTTCAGTCCAGAGAGAGGTCGGAACCAAGAAACCGGTCTCCCCGCGTTTCTAAAGGGTTCCTCTGTGGGAGAAGTCGACCTGTGAAGGGCAGGCACGTGAAAGTCTAGGGATACCTTCCCCATTCTTTCCAGTGATCCTTATTTTCGGGAACCATCAAAAACCCAGGAGAAACAGCCGGTTTTTGAAAAGAACGATGGTCGAACAGAATGGGGAATCAAGCCCTAAAGAAAGTGAATGAAGAACTCCTGGGCCTTTGAGCCTCCCGCGAAAGTCATGGGGCTTGAGCCGCATCAGAACGGAGACTTTTCCCGGGCTTAACATACATTCGTGGGGATTTATGGCTTGATAGGCCTTTGGGACGTCTTTCGAGTGAGGACCTTTCGAATTTGCCCAATGACAAGCTCCCCACCCACAGACCCACTTGGAGAACTGGTTGGAGCATCGTCTCCAGGGCAACTTTTGTGCATAAGTTGAACCCTCCGCACCAAGGTGTACAAGTCTACAAGGTCGTGGGTGAATGGCCACCAAATTCACAAGGTTGAAAACAAGAATGTGCCAAGCCATGACTGGGCCAGTGGGATTTGCAAAACGGAAGCATCTTCCCCTTCCGTCAAGGCAGCAATGCGCTGAGAGCGTCGAGTTGCTGGGTACATTGGGTTAATATCACCCTACGGTTGAGCCGCCAACCCGAATGAACCCTTCGGCAGGAGCTCCTTTCAACCATGATGTTCAAACATACCGTGGCTCCCTTGGGTTTTGGTTTTCTGGAAGGAATGATCCCTGAAAAGAACGGGGAAGTGTTTTTTCTCCAGTTTCTGGCCGGATCGTCAACTCAGGACGGGCAATCGGGGACCCTACAAAACACCACCTGAACATTTCAGGAAAAGGCGGGACTCATATGAATCCCTGATTGGTTTAAGGTGGTGTCCGATTTTCGAGGAATCTCCTTCACTTGGTGAAAACACCACATTTCCCCAGGTTGAGCAATGCAGGATCAACATAAGGAGCTAAATCTGCACCCAGTGGACCTGGTCGTAAAGCCACAGGTGGCCATATGATTTCCTCCTCTACGGTTTGCCTTGAGTTGCGTGTCCCAAGGCCTCACAGCATAAATGAAACCAAGAGGACGCCAAGTTGGAGAGATCCACTTACTGTCCAAGTTTCTGGACTTGATCCTTTTTGTGAAGCCATGTGGGAAAGACGATTGGCTTTGTTTGGCCAATCGTGAGTCCAATGGGCTTAGAAGAAGCAAATAGCCGAAGCTTCAAACCTCAGGGTCGAAATTTCTCGGCCCACTGCGGCAGTTCTCCACATGGATCCCATGAATTGCAGGTAACCAGTTGAGACAAAGTCAGCGACATCGCTTTTTGGTTTCTGCACCTTGGGATTGGTTGGAGACTTCCAGACAGGTCCAGGGAGGGGGTGCTCAGGTCTCCTGGTTTTACTTCCCATGGTTTGACCCTCTTTGCAAGCGTTTGGATGAGGTATTTGGCGCACTTCTGCGATGTGTACATGAATATTGACAACGGCAAGATCTATCGATCTCTGCAGGCTTGAGAAGCAAAGGAGGGTGAATACTTGATTGCTACTGGGATGGATCTCTAGACTTGTTGGTTGAAATCAAGGGTGTTCCATTGAAAGAGTGGCAACTCGAAGCGCTGAATTAGGTATTAGGCTATTTTTGTTGGCCGAGAGCTCAACAGCAACCAAGAATGGTTGATCCGAAGACCACTATCAACTTTGGACAAATCCGGACAAGAAGAGACTTGGAGTTGGGCCACCTGGAGTCCTGCACTTTGGCTCCTAACAGATCCGGGAGGGAAGACTGAGTGACTCCAGTCCAACACTCAGCTTTGAGAGGGACAGCATATGCGAGGTCAAACTGGTTTCAACTGGGTGGGTCAAAATTAAACCGCTGCAGTTGCGCATGTTTTAGTCCACCGTTCCATTGCCAGGGTTCCATTTCGGACCCCTATTTTTTGAACCACACCCAACTGGAGACAGAAGATGCTTCGGCATCTAACTAGGTTCCCCAGCTAGGTGCCCTTTCTCACCCCTTTTTTGGTTGGGAGGGTTCCCCTACTAAAATAGACTCCAGAAAAAGTTGGTACCCTTATTCAGGGCTCCTTAAAAGATACATTTTGCGCATTTGAAACATAGCTTTTTCTAGCAAAATAAAGGGACACCACCATTTACAAGGCAATGTTCAGGTGTATACTGTAAGGATCCCTGTTCAGCTTTTTGGGAAGACCAGGTTAGCAGAAATTCAACAAGTTAGTTTTGCTTTGGGCCATCCACTCAGAAAGTGAGATACGCTCCAACCAAGATTTTGTTGCTGCTTCACAGTTTGGAGTGCTTCAAAGAAGATCTCTTGTTTCGAGCGAAACCAAAATCAGACCTGCTTTCGGAAACCGTTTGCACCTGCGCCCTTTTTAAACAACGTACTCTCCTTTCGGGTGGGAGTTCTGTGTACCCAGCCATCTTTGCGAATTTGTTTTTGTTTTGTGTTCTGTGGTAAACCTGATTTTGTGTTTTCTTCTGACCCCAGCTTCTTTATTGCGGAAGGGCATCATTGATTCAACTTGCCCGATGTGACAAACCTGAAAGGGAAAGGGGGCCGGTTGGTTTTCTGCGCACCTCCGACCCCGCCAGCTGTGTATTTGACCTTGCCGAAATCACAGTTTGGTATTGTAAGGAACTCGTGCGGAAAATGTTCCCTTGCTTTGACAAGCCCAATGGCGGGAGTGGACGCCTAGTGGATGAACAAGCTTTGATAGCTAGGGTCTGTCTCACTTAGGAGGGGGTGCTTAGCTTGTGGCTACACTCCTTAGTCATCAGGGTTGATTTATTTAAGGGGTCAACTCATTAGGAGTCCTCCCTTCCCCTAGCCTTCGGGGCAGCTGTGACCATAAATGTTTGAGAGGAATCTCCCAGAGGCCAACAACCTTTGTATCCAAGTTGACTTCGAAGGGGTCAGAGCTAATTTGAGCCCAGAGCTTGCGCAGGAAAGAAACCACAGCACGGTTGGGGGCTTCGTAGTGATTGGTCAAACAGAAGGCCAAAGTAAGGCAAATAAAGCAAACTATGCTAAAGCCAGCAAAGCGACTTAAGGCCAAACACCGCCTTAACTCTTGGAATTCGGGGGTCATTCGGGCAGTGGTTTTCATTTTTGTGCTGAGCGAATGTACGGACTTATGAAGAGGCATCGCTGAAAGTCATAGTGATATTAGTGACTAGGGACCATGCTCTTCTTCCCTGCTCACCATAGCAAGGTCATCCACCTCGGCTTGAGCAAGCTGGCAGCTGAAAAGCACTCGTTGATGACCTCTGCTGACCAGGACCTCGGACGGTGGCCGGTGGGAAAAGGGATTTGCCTACTAGGGGTGGGGCACATTCACACTTTTGCATCCCTTTTGTGCACACAACCGTTGCTCACTGTGTCTGACCACCTAGGACATGACTCCGTGAGTTCCTCAAGGTCTTGGGGGAAATTAGATGAGGAGCCCTGCGTGGTCGAGCAAGCTTTTGAAGTCTTCAATCCTTTGGGACAAATGTGGAGGTCCGTATTTCCGTGAGCTGTAAGAATATCCGCAGGACCAAGCTCAGGTGTTGTCTTGAATATGTCAAGCCTGCGGTTTTTGCTTGGGGCAACCCCAATGTTTGCTCTGCAGACTGGCTTCACCTTCAACCCTTTCAACTTCGTTTGGAAGAGCACAAGTTGAACTGCAAAGCCCCTCTAGCCTTGGGTTGCTCGGTTTGGCATGTGCAGATTCAACGAAACTGGGTCAAGCTTGCAAAACAAGGATTTGTGTTTTAAGGTTTGTGTGTAGCAGTGCCTCGATCTAAGCATAACTACGCTAAGATTGACAGCACACTTGGCATGTTCAGCCAGTAGCTTTCCTTTCTTTGCCCCAGATTAAGGTCTAGATAGTTATGACGATGAGGCAGGGGGCTTAGGGAGGTGTTGCCGCACTTGCAGCATTTGGGGAGTTGGGGGAAGCAAGCATATTCAGGATTTCTAGAAACCACCCGGCAAAGACCGGGCCCCGCAAGGCCCCCAGCAAGCGCCTTAGGTAGGGGTCTTTGGAGGGGTTGCAGGAAAAAGGCCCTGAGGATTGGGGGAAATGCCTGGCCCTTGTGATCTTAGGACGCGCTGAACAAGGTCTTCGGTGTGTTCGATGCAGGTCAGCCCGGATTTGTGTTGAAATGTCCGAGCCGCCAAAGTGGACAGAACCTTCGGACTCCATTGTCTATGGAAATGGGGTCACACACACACATATGTATATATATATATATATACACCCAAAGTGAAGGATGCGCCCCTCACTTCCTCAGTTCCTGGACTTCATCCTTTTTTGAAGACCAGCTTAGTGGCAAACAAACAGTTTGGACCTGTTTGGCCCATGCATCCAAGTGAGGCCAATTCATTTTTTCTCGGTTCCCGGGTATAGGTCACCTCCCAGAGCGAGTTGACAACCCAGCCTAGGTCCCCCAGCTAGGTGCCCTTTCTCACCCCTTTCTTGGTTGGGAAGGTTCCCCTACTAAAGTAGACTACAGCAAAAAGGGTACCCTTATTCTAACCTTTACTGGAGGACATAGCAGCGTTTGGGTTTAGCCAGTTTTGGTTCCCATGTTTTGAAGTTCAAGTCTCATGGCTTGAGAAATCAATGCCTACGGATGGAAACTTAATCACGGCCTGACTGGCTGGTGTCCAGTTTTGAAGGTCTCATCAATCAGATTCTCACCGTAAAAACCACTGAATGAATTGCGAACAGGGAAGGATGGCGCACAAGTCCTTTACGCCTTTGGGGTTGTCTTGGGACCCGCCCACATACTTCGCCCAAAAGGAACCTTTTTGGGGTAGGATGCGATGTGTTGTTTTTTTTCTCCGCGGAGTGATTCTAAATCGTCGGCTTCGGCGGTCAAGTTGCGCCCTTGGGCGTATCGGATGAACAACACCGCCGGAAGGGAAGAAACTATTTTGAGCAGTCAGTCCAGAATGCAATTCTAGGTCCCCCAGTAGTGCCCTTTCTCACCCCTTGTTTTGGGGAGGGTTCCCTACTAAAATCGACTACAGAAAAAGTTGGTACCCTTATTCTAACCTCTCTACTGGAGGACCTATTGGTGACGCGTTTTGTTTTGGTTTGCGGGCTTGAACCCTGTTCTTGTTTGCCCAGATGGAAAGCCCTCCGAACACATCCGAAGCACCGATCCACAGCACCAAGTAGAGGTAAACTTGCTGGGGTACCTTACTGGCAGGATCCTTCGCTTAACTGGCGCCGGAGTTAACTGGCGCCGGATCTTTCGCCATGAGATCACAACCCATAGGGCCAGCGATTGGCTGAATAGAAACCACCCCAATGTTCCTTTCATAGAGTTTGTCCTCATTCTCGTGGTGAATGCATGCATTCTGTCATGGTCCTTGGCTGCACTGCTTGATATTAAAATGGACGCCAACAGGCCCATCACTTGTTGAGGTCCCAGAGGTTTCCGAGAAAAATATATATTCCGGATCCTAGTCCCTCTGAAACTTACATGCGTTGCACCGTGTTACACCTGTCATCGTGTTTCATGCGCGTGTTTGATTTGGTCTTCTGTGCAGTTTGAGTGAGGGGCTGCAAAGAGAGCGGGCAGCTGCAACTTTTAGGTTAGCACACCAATCGCCACTTGATTGCTGTTGAGTACCAGATCTTTAGACTTGTTGTTTCTTGGCTGAAAACAGTTTGGTTTTCCGAATTGAGCCCACGAACAAAAAAACTGTGAAAGGCTTGTTGCCGAGGGCGCTCGCCAGCCACCAAGTGTTCAAGTCAAATCCAAAGCGCCAGGTTTGGACCTCTTCCGGAAGTACGACATGACCAGAGGTGAGGCGCGGATGCGATGCGCGGCCCGCGGATCTGGGGATCTGCGGCGGGCAAGAGATGCCAAGGGTCGGCCAAACTAGGTCCCCCAGCTAGGTGCCCTTTTCTCACCCTATTTTTGGTTGGGAGGGTTCTCCTACTAAAATAGACGAGGAAAAAAGGGTACCCTTGTTCGAACCTCTGTACTGCCGAACCTAGTAAAAATAACATCCCTGCTTTGTGGCGCCCCCGTGCCCTCCCCACCTAACATGGAAGTGCACAACCCCCCTTTCCAAGAGGAAAGTACGCTTTCTACGGGTCTGTGCACCAAGCCATGGAATCGTCGGTGGGAGAAAAAAACGCCTCCCAAGACGGAAGTTCAGAGCCATGTCCGTTGACGGCTTTTGGTTGAAAGGAGAGGAGGCTTTGCACCTCCAAGTTGGTCGGGACATGGTCATAAGCCACCCAACAAGGGTTACTTCCAAGATGTCTTGAAGCAGCAAGGGTTACTTCCAAGATGTCACTATGCAACAAGGGTTAGCTCCAAGATTTCACCGACTGAGTGGCTGAAGATGCAAGTTGTTTTCCTCTTCTTTTTTTTGGGGGGGGACATGGGAACTCACCCCCACTTGCGCAGTGGATTTTGCCCCCCTTTTTCCAACTATTTTTTTGGGAGGGGTTCCCCTTTAAACTCAACCAACCAAGCAAGGATGCCACTTCTTTTCCCATGGAAATCCATGGCATCCGAGCACCAAATTCTCAGACACCTACTATACTTTGATCATCTTGCTCGAAGGGTCCATGGTTCCGGATCGATTTCGGCGGGCTCAAACAAGATGCTCTCCAGGACTAAGCTGGTCAATGAGGCAACAGGAAATCGACGAAAGCATCCTGGAAGAGATTTATTTCCCCCCACTTCTCGCCATTGAGGCCACTAGCGACCATGAGGCCCGCTCGACTCAAGCCCCTGGCCACCGTGGGTGTCCCAACATGGCCAGGAGTGGGCAAATTGGTAGCGAGCAAACCGCCAGCCTCTTTCACAGGAACCAAACAAACAGATATTTGAGCAGAGAAAAGGCGTTGAACCAAATGGCAGCCCAATCCAGCCCACAGCAAAGTCATCTAGTCTAGTAAAGGATATGACATGCGTCACAATTTACAAAATCTGTGACTAGGAAACCAGGGGTGACTCACGAAATGACCATGTCATTTGAAGACACAATCAAACCAGGGTAGTTGACGGTTAGTAAGAGACAATCCCAACCAGAAATGGGTGCAGCCGCCTTGGTAACTCTTTCGGTGGATTCACCATTTCGGTATATCAGGTTTGATTACGCCTCATTTCGAGGCACAATCACGATATTGACTGTCGCTCACATGTCTTAGCGCTTTGGACGCCTTGGTTGCAGTCTACTTGGGACAAGTGCTCCGGAACCGGCGGAAATAACAAAAACAAGAAAACGTTTGTTTGCTTCCATTTGCTTAAGATATTTGTTTTTCCCTGTTGGTCTTACAGCGAATCTATCACTACGTGAAATATGTTTTTTACCTTTTCCAGGGGTCTTAACCCAATGGAGGTCTGAGACTTGCGCATAGGGCAACTGGAAGACGCCCCCCCGCTCCGCCGGCCGCCTGAGACTTGGCTACTAGGTCCGCCAGCTAGGTGCCCGTCCTTTTACCCCGTTTTTGGTTGGGAGGGTTCCCTTACTAAAATAAGAACAATTCCGACCTGTTTCGGCCACGCAGGAAGTGACTGGGTGGATGAAGGATAGTTCCCGGCCAGAAGTAGAAGCTCTCTTGGTTCCTTGCTACGGGTTGACATCAATAAACTAGGGTTGATTAATCCGGGATTCGCATTATGATTCCACGGTTCGGTACGCGTGTCCTCCTGGTAACACTTGCTCCTTCTGGTAACACTTGCTCAGCTTGGGACTGCGTTGATTCGTTCTCGAAGCACACCTTCGTGAGCATCGAGTTGAATCTATAGCTCTGAGACCGGAGTACCTGGAGTCTCCATGACCGTTTAACAAAGGGTTCGTAGTTATGTATATATATATATATTATGCGCTATGCACGCCTAAAGTTCAGGGGTCGTGACGACAAGGCTCAGCTTTAAACAACCTTTTTAATTTGGGCGCCTAAACATAGGGGACCCCAACAACCAATTGCTGGTTTCCTGTTTGGTTGAACTCCAAATCCACTCAACTGCTAAAAATTACAAACAAAAACACATTTTTTGCTTTTTCCCCTTCCAACGTCGACCAAGAAATCCTGGTGACACCCTCTCCCGGTCAGACCCTCCCTCGTCTCATCCGCAGGTAGACTACTATGACGACTACGCGGAGCTCCCTGGACTGCTGCCCTTTCTGAAGAGGCGGAGTTCGGAGTTCGCGGGCGAGGATTGGAATGAGATCTTCCCCAGAACTAGCTCTCCTTGTTTTTGTTGTTGTTGTTGTTTTGGGTCCCTTTGTTTTCCACTAACCAGGCAACAATCTGTTTTTTTGCTGGGGTCCTAATTCCAGCCAAGACGTTGCATAACCTATGGAGATCTCATTTTGGGGTGGATGAAGATCCATTTAAGCCACCTATTTTGATGTTCACCAGGGCATAGGTGTCCTTTTGATCGGGGGCTTGGGAGGTGTCCTTGTCTTGACTGCTATTGGGTAACTGATCTTTAGACTTTAACTGTTTGGTTGAGATCAAGTTGGGTTTCCCATTAAAGCCACAAACAATTAAACTTTTTGCAGAGGGGTCAACAGCAACCAAGGTTTTTGGGTTAGTTTGGCTAGAAATAGATGGCACTGACTTAGATGGGTTTCATTCCATTTACCAGGGCCATCTATTTTCCCAAAAGGACACCTATGGGCTCGGATTGGGGGCTCCTGAGATGGGGGGGTGGGTCAAGACAAACCACCAGGATATGGACCACCATGTTTCCATTTGCCAGGGCAACGCATTTTGGGTACCTATTTTCGACCCACAGCCATATGGGGGGTGGATCAATATTCAGGGCCCCCAGTTTTGACCATGGGTCACTTTCCCAGGTAAAGTACCTGTTGAACAACCCCATATGTGTGCGGGTCAAGAATAAGGCAACATGGGTTGCCCTGGTGCATGGAAACATGGTGTCTAAAAACCTGCGGTCCATGTAGAATTGTGACCCATACCCATATTTATCCCTGTTGCGTGGTACTTGCTATTATCCCTCTGCCAATTCTTACGACGCGAGCTCAGTGGAGCAAAACTCGCAACAAACTCCATGGCCCCATAGGGGCGAGATGTTGCTTTCGTGGAGTTTTCTCGAATTTACAACCCTGGGCATAGGTACTAAATGCAACTTCCAGTGGTGCATGTCCTTGTTTCATTTGTTTGGTGTCAAGAAAGACCCTTCGCAATCTTGCCAGCCAAGAAAGGGCAAGTGCTTTTTTGTTCTCCCAAAGATTCCACTGGAGCTGAGCTGAGTTGGGGAGTTGGGAAGTCACCAAGCATATGGAAGGCAGCCTTTGTTTTTGGAACCTGATTGAACATGGGTAAAATGAACAATTGAACAAGTGTTTTTGAAATTAATGGTGCCCTTTGAATCGGTCAGTTGGGTCCTTTTCTGCTCCGATCTGTTCCTCACCGGTGTTTTCAACTGGTGTTCTTCTGGTTTCATTCAACGCTCCCAGAGGGAATCCTACCCTTTTGTTGGAATCACATGACAACACCGCGTCACACTTCTTTTTGGAAGCCCTCGGTTTACTCGCTCTTTCACTCAAGTCACACCGCCTTTAGACACACAGACGCACGGACACACGGACACACGGACACACGGGCACACGGACACACACACACACACACAGAGACACAGAGACACAGAGACACAGAGACACAGAGACACAGAGACACAGAGACACACACACACACAACACACACACACACACACAACACACACAACACACACACACCACACACACACACAACACACACACACACGCACAGACTTCCTCAACAAACGCCAATTGGGGAAGACTAAACAAACCAACACTGGGATGTACTGTGGACAAAGTCCTACACCAGTTGGTAGATGTAGGCGTGTCTTAAAATAGGCCTCCCCCCAAAATGGTGGGTTTCTTTTGGTTTCCCTTTGAGCCAACCCCGAAAACCCTGAAAGAACACAACCCCGAAAACCTCACTCTCCAACACTTGCGTTTTCCGAAGTCAGGTTTCAAATTTGCCCTTTTGATGACTATTTCAAGTCCATAGTTTGGGGAGTTAAAGGGGTTGCAAGCCTAGTTTCAGGCAGGTTTCTGGCAGGTCAACTTGGGCAAAGCTCACCACCAAGCCAACTTCTGGACCATGCAAGTAGTCCTTTTTCACACCATCCAACTGGTCCAACTTTCATGTCCCATGTTCCCGTAGTGTCTGAAGTTTTTGCCAGCTTGGCCATTGGCCTGGCTTATTGGATTCCACCCTCGATATCTCTTTCTGTACCAGGGTCACATCTGTTTTCTGCCAAAGTTGCTTCAAGGCTTCAACCAGGTTTTGTTCAAAAGTTGCCCTCCCCACCTCCCGCATCCCGCCCGCCGCGCACAGCCCCTACCCACCAGGCTGCGGCGCGCGCTGGGCGGCCTGGAGGTGGGGGGCATGGTGCTGCTGCCCGGAGGCTGGGGTTGCGCGGACTACATGCCGCGGCAGTACATCAGCTTCGCTGCTCGGCGATTTGCAAAAAACGGTCGGTGGTTTTCGTGTTCAGTGGGAAAGCAAGCTTGCTGGTCCTCAGGGAATGAGTTGGAATGAGGGTTCGTTCGTTTTCGGTGGGAAGAAAGCCGTGGGGTGTTTGTTCGTTGTTGTTGTTTTTAAGGGGCGGAAGAAGCCGTGGGGTTCTTTCGGGAACAAATCCGTGGGGTTTTGTTTTCGGTGGGAAAGCAAGCCCCTCCATCTGGTTTCCTGGGGAATCCCCACCGGTGCATTCCCAACAGCCGGAAGGCCATTCCCTAGTGAGCAGTTCCTCATGTTGAGATTGCTTTCACGGGAAAAACCGAATTGAGCAACCATTCAGGGAGAGAATCAGGGAGAGATGTATCAAACTTCGATGCAGGAGCGGTTCCAAGGCAATGCGCATGGGGTGTTGGGAAAAAGGAAAAGGCTGGGCCAGCCCAGATCTGGATTGAACCTGAGAAGGGCCACCACCTCCCGCAAAGAAAAGGCCCTGCCTGAGCGTTGATGGGAACCCAGTTGATCAGGAATACGGTTGGTTATACTCCAAATCCAATCCGAAGAATCATTGAACGTGGACCCAGGATGAAGAGCAACCTCTGCTTGAATTTGGTGTCCGGCTTAAGAAGAAACGCGAACCCTATTCATTAGCCACGCTAGTCAATCCGGGGTTGACATGCGGGCGGAAATGGCCCCGACCCGTTGCTTCCAGGTACTCCCCTGCAAGTAACCATGGGTCGTGCCCAAAACTGAGATTACGTTTACAGCGACGGTTTTTTGTTGGGTGTTTCTGCTTACTGGTGCTCAGTAGGGAATGACCCAGGGTTTGGGGAATAAACCTGGAGAGTCCATTCAAGGAAACCATTGGCCATGGTTTTTCTCGGGGTGATTCCATTTCTGATTCCCTGCCTATCGAGCCAGCAAGTTGTTTCGTCATTTTTGTCATGGCACCCCCCCAAAGAAAAAAGGAAGCAGCGAACACAGAACCAAAATTGGTGGGCAAGCCTAAACAGCGAGACCCAGCCTGACCGCCACTAAGGGAACCATGACCATGGGCTGTATGAAAAGAGTTTTGACCATGGCACATTTGGGGTGGAGGTGGGAGTTTGTGGCATCTGACAAGGAGGATCCCCGAGAATTTTAAGTCAGACTGATGATGTGAGCATGAGTGTCCTTCAAAGGGCATCCGATACACACTAATCCATGTTAGACCATGGTCTAGTGCTGGCCTTTGAGTCTGTCTAACTGCTTTCGGGTTCTGTCTCTCATCTCGTTTGTCTTCACCCAATCAAGGACGGGTTTCAAACAGGACCCAGCAGAAGCATCTTCGGATGAACCCACACAGGCATCATTTTGGTGCCCCGAGTCAGGAAACAATGGGGAAGCCGTCTGATCAGCAGCTGTGTTCTTTGGAGAATAAGAAAAAACACCCAGGGTGCATTTTTCCCGTTTTGCCTTTTGACTGGGTTCCCAAACCCAGAGTTCACTTTTTCATACATTTTGTACCGGTTGCAACTGAGAAGTCATCACAGAAAACGGATCAGCTGCCTGGTTACCTAGTATGGTCATTCTTACACTATACCAAAAGCTATAGTAAGCCAGGATCCTGGTGTCAAAGGAAATTCGGCTTTCGCATGTTGGCCATGTTTGCTCGAGGTTACGAAGGGGTTGTTTGAGGGTGCTTTTTGGGACTGAAGGGACGCCAAAGGGACAGTCAAAATTTGGGGGGTCCAATCCTTATCATAAAGACATACCCAAAGGTTTTAACCTTCACTCTTGTTGGCAAGAGTTTAGGTCTTGCT